AGATCGATGACGACAGGGAAAAGGGGAAAATCTGGAGAAGGTATGGAGTAAACAACTTACATGTCACCAAGAGCCACCATGCAGACGGTCTGCCAGATGCCGAGACCGATACGGGGAGCAACACCACGGTAGAGACCACGGATACCGTTGTTGTCGTAGATGTAGCGGAAGGTCTTGCCGACGGTCAGGTTCTTAGGGCGGTTGGGGTCGGGGGTCTTGCTCTGCATCTCGACACGGATAACCTCAATGGGCTGGTTCCAGGCGGAGAGACCACCACCAAGACTGGATGCCAAGATCTTCTCAAAGGCCGACAGCTTGGTGCCGTCCTCCTTGTTGGAGACCTTGCGGATAGCCGACTCGGCCAGACGCGAGAGACCGAAGCGGGAACCCCAGTTGGTGGTCTGACGGATAGCAACAGCGTTGACACCACGGTTGATACCCCGGATACCCTCCTTGCGGTAGATGTCCATGAAGGTCTCGAAAGTGCCGGGGGGCTTAGCGCCGGTGGCGGCCATCTTGTGCTTGGTGATTTCGACCGTCTTCATGCAGGTACAGAAACCCATGGTAGCGTAGGCTTGGGCAACACCACCAGCCATACCACCGCTGATACCGGAGACGAAGTCGTTGGCACCGAGGGCGCGGGCCTGATACTCGGCCTCGGAGGCGACGAACAGGAGAACCGCACCCTTGGTGGATGCCTCAATCCAGGCCCACGGAATGAGTCCCTGATAGTCTAGTACGAATCCCACGTCAGCCCCATGTTACACATGCAAAGGTCCCACCAAGGGCGCTAAGAGCGCACGTCGGGGGAAATTGGAAGGTCGGGTATATCACTTACAACCGAGGATGCCGCCACGGCCCCAAATCCGACCCATAGCGCCTGCGAAGCTGTCGCCCCGGTTTGCGGCCATGGTTGTCTTGATCACCTCCAGCGGCTGGGGGATGGTCAGCTACCTTGATTCTTGGTTAGATTATCGAGTATTGGCATACCTGTCCCAACGATGTGACCTCAAACAAGTTCAATCCTGCGCCCAGCAACAGGTTGCTGAACTTGACGGGCTTCTTCTCGAGCTTAGGGGCCGAAGCCGCGGAAGGAGTTGCGGTAGACATTCTATGATGAGGATGCGCTGAAAGGGGCCCTGACCAAGGGATGTAGGGGGCTTCGTGCGTTGAGTGGGAAAGAAAGAAAAGGGTGGTTGAAAAGATCCGAGGAGGAATGTGTAGGAAGAGGGAAGAGGAGAGAGAAAGCCAAATGTCTTATAGGGGAATCAGCAAGCATGGGTAACTAAGCTGGGGACAGCTGGTACCAGCTACATCGGATCTTCAATAGTTCCACTCATGCCAGTGGGTACTCGGTACCTCACATACCAGCCCCGGAGCAATCCCTCTCCTTGGCAATTTGGAACTGTCCGTTTGTCGGCGCAAAACAATATTTTCTATTGACTCCGGATCTTCATGTAATTGAAGTTTTTTATCCTAAAATCGGCAGTATAGTTATAACATTTGATGTTTTGTTCTTCCCTAGCAACGCATACGGGTGGGGACCGCCTGATGGTTGAGGGCTGCCCCGTCCCAACAGTCCCGCAGTGCTCGATTCAACACAGGAGCCTCCAGACCGTTTGATATCTACGCTGTATCTACGATCCCGATAAAAATATAATGCCTGCATGTACATCGGTTATTTGGATCAATATACTCTCAACAGTACACACTACAAGGTTCATGGTTTTGACATGGAAGCTCTGTTACAAGGCCCGCTCGAACCGATCAAGTCCCTATCATACATAAAATAACCCAAGACTATCTCGGTCACACAAAGGAAATAATACAAATGTCTATCGGGTCCTGAGTCCCCCAAGATTATAAAAAGAATAAATCATGACGCGCTTAGAGCTTGGCACCGACCAGCTTGGCGTAGGCCTCAGTGCTGAAAGACTTGGGGCGCTCAATGGGCATACCAAGAGCACGGTCGATGATCAGCTGGGGAAGGACACCAATGGCACGGGAAACACCGAACAGGACGGTGTAGTAGTTAGCCTCGGTCAGACCGTAGTACTGGAGGAGAACACCGGAGTGGGCATCGACGTTGGGGTAGGGGTTCTTGGTCTTGCCGTGCTCAGTGAGGACACCGGGGGCGATCTTGTAGACCTGGCTGACCAGCTTGAACAGAGGGTCATCGGGCAGCTTGCGGAGAGCAAACTCGCGCTGAGAGACGTAACGGGGGTCAGTCTTACGGAGGACGGCGTGGCCGTAACCGGGGACGACCTGGCCGTTGTTCAGGGTGGTCCAGAGGTAGTCCTTGATGGACTCGTCGGAGATGTCGTTGCCGACGGCCTGCTTCATCTTGGTGATCCAGTTGAGGACCTCCTGGTTAGCGAGACCGTGGAGGGGACCGGCGAGACCCTGGAGACCGGCGGAGAGGGAGAGCATGGGGGAGCTCAGGGCGGAGCCGACCAGGTGAGTGGTGTGGGCAGAGACGTTACCACCCTCGTGGTCGGAGTGGATGGTCAGGTAAAGACGCATCAACTCAACGAAGTCCTTGTTGCCACCGAAGCCGAGCTGGTTGGCCAAGTTGAAGGAGTAATCCTTGTCCTTCTGGACGGGGGCGACCTTGCCGTCCTTGAAGACATTGCGGTAGATGCGAGAGGCAATGGTGGGAAGCTTGGCAATGAGGTCCATGGAGTCCTCGAAGGTGTAGGTCCAGTACTCCTTCTTGTTGACACCCTTGGCGTAGGCCTTGGCGAAAGCAGACTCGTGCTCAAGAGCAGTGACGGCCAGAGAGAACTGGGCCATGGGGTGGAGGTCGTTGGGGCAGCGGTCGATGAGCTCCTCAATGAACTTGGGGACATCGGAACGAGCAGCCCACTCGGCAGACAGGTCGCGAACCTGCTGCTCGGAGGGGATCTCACCGGTCAACAGAAGCCAGAAGAGACCCTCGGGCAGGGGCTCCTCACCACCGGGAGCCTTGGGCAGGAGCTTCTGGCACTCGGGGATCTAGGGATAACGGTAAGCATATGGAAGGTCGACTTGTGAATCGAAGATCACCTACGGTGTAGCCGCGGAAACGGATACCCTCCTCAGAGTCGAGGACGGAACCCTATTAAAAAAACACGGGTTAGCTGCGTCATCCCCCATGGGGGCAGAAGTTGTTGAACTTACCTCCCAGACGAGAGACTTGATACCACGGGCACCACCGTAGGCCTGGTCGAGGGTGACCTCACCAATGACGGTGTTACCGTGTTCCCTGATGCGATTGTCAGCTTTGTGGTTTTGAATAGGGATGGCGCGTCACATACTTGCGGAGCTTCTTGACTTTCTCGATCTCGGCGGGGAGGTTGTCGGCAAAGGTGTCCTTCAGGGACTAGATGACAGCATGTTAGCATTGATCCGAAGCTTCCCGCGATGGACGACGTACCTTGGCCTTAGCGGAAGAGTAGCAGCGCACGCCATTGAAGGCAGCAGTCTGCATGGGCTTCGCAATGGAAGACCGAAGAGCGGCAGTGCCGATTCTGAGAGAGGAAGCCATTTTGAAATAAAATGAAAAAGATGGGGGAGGAGATATGGACACAAAGCCTGGGGGAGAAAAAGAAGGAAGAAGGGAAAGACTGGGAGAAGCTCTTTTGCGGCCCTGCAATTTTCTCGGTATTTTCCATCTGGCCGTATTACAGCCGGTACGGTCACGGTCCCACTCGGGACGCCGTGGAAGGGAACTCACCACGTAATTTTCCCCCAACGGTACATTCGGGCTGCCGGCAGATCAGCTTCGGTTTGCGAAAATAACGGAGCTCCAGCGTGTCCTATACGTCATGATCAAAACCAATATTAGTATAATATATAATGTATAATAACTATATCTACAGCATATACGGAATATAGTAAGTAACTTGTGTAATTATATCCGCATTCGTCCCAGGGATCCGGAGTGACGGGGCGGTACGGGGGTAATACCATCCCTGATGGCAGTGACGTCGGCAAGTCGCCATCTGTTGTGCCGCCTGTCCGTGTAAACCCTCGGTATAAAGTTCTTTTATTGTATTGGTATATGGAAGTCCATGTTGAACTGCACCTGATCCCGCCTTGACCTCTTTCACTTCCTATTCTACCCTACATGCCCAGATTTCTTAAACGGTTCACCGAGGTCGGAAGCTTCGGGCGGGATCAAGGGGCAGAATAGGGTCATATTTCTAGGTAGGATATTCCTCGGCTCAGTTCAAATGTCATTCCGACTGTTTCAAGAATGCAAATTGTTGAATGCTATTTTCAATAAAGTTATTGTTCATTCTGTATACGCGTAACTAAATGGAGCGAAGTTACCAGATTCTAACTTCTGCATTATCTTGAGAACAGCCTTTTAGAATAGAGTGGTTGTACTGTAGACCCCAGATCCCGCATCAGTCCGATGAATCTTGTCCATGCTCAATTACGTGTCTTCAATGTTGTTGGGCCAGCCGTCTTTGCGATGTAGCACCACGTGATATCAGGTTCGGTAAAACGCAAAAACCAATTGCGCTGAAAATGACTTCACGTGATCTAGCCCAATCAGGCTAGCGCCCGAAGATTCTGCCACCCATCTTCCCCTTTAATGCCCTTCGCATTCCTTCACTTTCCAACTCTCATCTCTCTATTCCATCAACTCAACAATCTCAGTCCATTCCCTTGGACTCTGTAAAACCCTCTGGTTTATCCCTGGATCTCACTTCGACACTAGGCTGTACATTCCCCGTACTCTCGTACTCGGCCAGGCAGCCTCTTCTCCTGGACACAATATCGCTAGGCTGTATTCAGCTGTAGGCGCCTGTTCTCTGCTCGACAGTGAATGCGCTCGTGGAGTCTGTAGTGAAGAATCGCAAATCACCGAGGACCTAAAATATCTGCTTTCAGAAGATTTTCCGCAGTAGCTGGAATCTCTTACTTCTCTCGATAGGCCTGGGCCAGAATTTCTTTTCTCTCTCGTCCGTCTCTTTTTGCGCGCTTCATTCTCTCGCAATAGTCCTTCAGCCATGTCTTCCGCGGTAGCAGAATTGGAGAATATTCTCCAATCCATGCTGGCTCTCAAGCCTCCTGGTGTATCGGGCTCCAAGATCGGTAGCATCACATCCTTGTGCACTGCCAACGTGCAGGTACGCTTTTCCCGTTTGGTCGATAATTCGTGCCATTCAGCCCCCAATCTTCCAAGAGTCACGCTAACTTTCCTGCAGAATGAATCAGTTCTCATCCAAAAAATTTACACCCACTTCAAGAAGGCACCGGGCTCCCACAAGTTGGGCGTGCTCTATGTCGTAGACTCAGTAACCCGTCAATGGGTAGATGCCGCTCGCAAGGCCGGTCAGGCTCCTGGAAGCGATGCGCCGGATGGAACTTTTGCCGCAGGCGTCAAGCGTGTCACTGATCTGCTGCCTGTCCTGATGACAGACATCATTAACAATGCTCCCCAAGATCAAAAGGTAAGCAATAGACCTGTATCTGATATTCTCACATCGCAGCCTTGGCGGGGGCCAAGAATCTTTGTATAGAGTTGTACTATGTTCTTCGGTCCTGAACAACGCCAAGGCGTGGACGTTTTCGAACAACTCGCTCACGTATTTCCGCCTCTATAGGAGAAGATCAAGAAGCTGGTTGACATCTGGGAGCGTGGTAACACATTCCCGGCGCCCATGCTAAGCTCTTTCAAAGAGAAATTGAACGCAAGTTAGTCGAATCTGTCCACGGGGCGTGGCACTCATGCGCCTCGTCTTGTTTTCACCTGATCACATCTAACGTTTCATTAGCCGTCGAATCGCATACGCCTGAAGGCTCACCTGCCCCCAACGCGAACCCACTGGGCGTTCCCCAGCAGCCCGCCGCTGCACCGGATACCTCGAGCATTCTGAAGGCATTGGCGGACATGGCGAAACAAAACACTGCGGCTCCTGCGGCCCCCTCGGCCCCTGCTCTGGCCAACCCTATGGCAGCTTTCAATGCCGCCGCTGCCATGCCTGCTGCGTCCACCGAGTCGTCTTCGCAGGCTTCTGCTGCCCTGAACCCATACGGCGCTGCTGCCGGCCCCATAAACCCCTTCTCGGCGATGGGAGGTGTCGCTCAGAACCCAGTCATTCCTCCTCAGAGCCAGAGTGGAACTCCTAACCCCATGGCCGCTGCCAATCCACTGGCTGCATTGATGCCTCAGGCCGCCCAGCAGCCTGCGATGGACCCGGCTGCGATGGCCCAGCAGTTCCAGCTGCTTCAGATGCTTGCCGCTCAAGGTGTGCCCCAGGACCAGTGGGCCACCGCTTTACAGCTCCTCAGCATGAGCAGCGCCAATGGTATGGGTGCTATGCCTCCCGCGGGACAGATGCCTGCTATGCCTGGATTCCCTCAGATGCCAGGCCAGAATGTCGGCAGCTGGGGTCGCCCTGACTCTCAGAACCGTGATGACCGAGGCCGCGAGTTCCCTCGCTCTCCTCCCACTGGATACCGTCGTCGTTCGCGCTCCCCTGGCTGGGACAGACGTCGTACTGCCTCGCCTCCTCGTCGTCGTGAGAGCCCTGTGTACGGGGAGTATCATGGTGATTCCCCTGGCCGTCGTGGTGGAGACCCCCGTGATGCGCGTGGTCGTCGTGGCAATGAGTATCGCCAGCGCAGCCCTCCTCGTGGTGGAGGTCGTCGTCGCTCGCCTTCGCCTGTTCGTAACAAGGATCCTAACCTTCCTCCCCCCGGTCCCAAGTTTATCGAGTGGGATTACTCGATTGGCCAGGGTGTGATCAAGGTGTTGAGCCGAACCCTTTTTGTTGGCGGTGTTACCTCCTCGGAGGCTCACTTGCGCCAACTGTTTGGCCAGTTTGGAATCGTTCAGACTTGCATCGTCAATGTGGACAAGCGCCACGCTTTTATCAAGATGATCAGCCGTGGTGATGCGATGAGCGCTCGCGATGGAATGGAATCGTACCGTACTGGAGAGATGCAACTTAGGGTAAGTTTTGCGTGTGCCCCACACCCATGAAAAAGAGGGATCTTATTTACTGACTTTTTCCGACATAGACTCGTTGGGGTGTCGGCTTTGGTCCCCGTGACTGCAGCGACTACCAGACTGGTGTCAGCGTAATCCCCATTGAACGTTTGACTGAGGCTGATCGCAAGTGGATGCTTACCGCCGAGTACGGTGGTACTGGTGGACGTCCCATTGAATCTGGCATGATCGTCGAGGAACCCGATATCGAAATCGGTGCTGGTGTTTCTTCCAAGGCTATCAGTCGTCGCATCGCAACTGACACTGGCGGCAAGCGCGGTCCCATCTCGACCCGCGACACCCGCTTTGGTGGACAACCTGGTGCTGGTGCTGGTGCTGGTGGTCCTGGTGGTGGCGGTCGCCGTGACCGTGATGGATACGGTGGCATGGGTGATAGCGCTCTTGAACAGGCTCCCAACCTGAACAACCCTGCCGTCCCTCCTGCGGTTCCTGCCTACGGATTCAACTTTGCCAGCATGCCTATGCTACCTCCTGGATTCATGATGGGCGGCGCTCAGGGTGGTTCCATGCCCGGTGCTCAGCCTCCCAACGGTCAGGGCAACTAAGCTTCTTTCTTTCTTTTTCATTCCATGCGTGCATATCTTGCATAGGTCCAGGATTGCGCGAGGGGCAAAAGGCGTTGGAGGATCGGAAATTTTTCGAGCGAGTTTTTACGGGAGGTTATCGTGTTCTGCGGTTTTATTCTTATTAATGTTATCCTTGCATACCCCGATCACATTACGATTCACATACGTTAGGAATTACATTTTCTTGAACTTATTTCACCTTTGGCAATTGTAGGACTAGGCTTTAGGTGTTTTCATGTTGCATGTACATTTCTTCGTGTAAACTGAACAAAAGTTTCAGCTTGGTGGTTCGTATATTCTCATCTTTCTTGCAATCGCATCCGATTGCTCACGCAGTCCGATCTGGCACAGCCTTGGAAGCACGGAATGACTGCTCAAAGTCGGCAATAATATCGTCAATGTACTCCGTACCAACCGAGATGCGAATACCATCCTCGGTAACGCCAGAGTCGCGACGCTCCTGCTCTGAGAGTTGCTCATGGGTCGTGGACCAGGGGTGGATAGCAAGAGTCTTGGAGTCACCAACACTACAGCAAGCAGGTCAGTAACGTTCCCACATAAGACAGAACGGAATAGAAACATACTTAGCAAGATTGGAAATCAACTTGAAATTATCAACGACCTGCGCACCAGCAGCCGCGCCACCCTTAATACCAACCGACAAAACACCACCAAACCCACGCTTCAAATACTTCTTGGCAAGATCATGATTGGGATGACTTTCCAACCCAGGATACGAAACCCAGCTGACATTCTCATTCGTCTGAAGCCAGTTAGCCAGAGCAATCGCATTACTGGCATGACGCTCACACCGCAGGCTGAGCGTCTCAATGCCCAGAATGAGCTGCTGCGCCGCGAATGGGTTCAAGGCTGATCCAAGATCCCGTAAGATCTCAACTCGCACCCGGATGGCATAGGCGATAGAGCCAAATGTCTCCCAGAACTTCAGCCCGTGGTAGCCCTCTGAGGGCTCGATGAACTGTGGGAATCTGGCGCTGTTCTTGCCCCAATCGAACTTGCCGCTGTCGATTACCACGCCTGCGATGGTGGTGCCGTGGCCGCCGATCCACTTTGTTGCGCTGTGCACGACTATATCGGCGCCGTGATCGATTGGGCGGATGAAGTAGCCGCCTGCGCCGAATGTGTTGTCCACCTAGAGGTTTATTAATCGTGAGAACTTGATTCTTCATGTCTGAATGCAAGCTACATGTACATACCACGACCGGGACACCCTTTTCATGTGCTAGTTTGGCAATTGCCTCAAGATCAGGAACGTTATAGCGCGGGTTGCCAATGCTTTCAAGGAACACGGCTTTCGTGCGGTCATCAATCGCAGCTGCAATATCCTCAGGCTTATCGCCTTGGACGAACTTTGTATTGATACCAAGGCGCGGGAACATGACCTTGAACTGGTTGTAAGTGCCACCGTACAAGTTGCTAGTAGAAACAATGTTGTCACCGGCATGAGCCAGGGCCGAAATGGCCATGAACTGCGCTGCCTGTCCAGAGGAGGCAGCGACGGCGGCAACACCACCCTCCAGGGCTGCAATCCGCTTTTCAAAGACATCCACTGTCGGGTTCATGATGCGGCTGTAGATGTTGCCGAACTCCTTAAGGCCAAAGAGCCGAGCGCCGTGTGCGGAGTCATTGAAGACATACGAGCTGGTGGCGTAGATCGGAACTGCGCGGGAGTTTGTGGTTGCGTCTGGCTCATGGCTTTCTTACTTAGTTATGATCTTCTTGTCTGGATTGTTTTCCTACCCAGCGTGTAACTGTAGCGTGTCGAAGTGGAGATTTTGGGGATCGGACATCGTGGGGGGAGGGTTGAACTAGTGCTTTTGATGTACAGCACTAACGAAGATTGTGATTGTAGCCTCCGTTCGATGTTTTCAGATAGTTTGACAGAAGAGAAAGGCAAGGTTGAACATTTCAGCGCAGAGCCGAGGGGAATGGGAATGGCGGGGAAGTATATTGCGTGATCGACTGTCCTTGGCTTCGTGTTGATTGCTCCAACGACACTTTTGCTTTTTATGCATTCTGTTTTCTCCAATTGGGGTATACTGCTAGCCTTGTCTTCAATACGGGTTAATGCATGGCCCATTTCTTGGTTGGTTCGAACTGATCTCTCGTTGTTGAGCATAAAGCCTCGTATTTGCTTTTTACACCATTCTCTCTTCCTGTATGGCTTGCTTCGGAATACTAGCCCTGCTTGGTCCGGTCTGCGCTCTTTTCTTTCCCGTCCTGCTCATTCTTGGGTAGGAGTGTTCTTTCGGTGCGGTTGCATTGATCCGGGTTGTTTCCTTGGGGTTAGGCAATAAATGGAGGACACTACATCCAAAAATATTTAGAGACCCTCGGGTGAGATCAATGTTTATTGGTTTGCTACTGATGGATGGCCGGTGGTTTCTTTTCTGCTATACGAGGGATACACTGAGCTCTTTTTGTGGAACGGTAGATTGTCTGGACTGAAACATGCTTATAGTCGACCCTACCTCTATTTCCTTTGTTCGATCGAGGCTGTGGGCATGAAATCATGATGTATTGATTGCAAGGAGGGAGGAAACCAAATGGTACCGGGCGAAGCGCTTCTGCTCTGCGGCATCGTCATCTATATGTATATGGCCGCACTCGCCAGGCAAAATACCAGTGCCGAACGACCGCTTTTACTATTGAAAGGAAAAGTAGACTCTGTTGCTCTCTTTGATTTGCTATACTATCAAATTATTATTCCAGACTAAAGACTGTTGGTTAGAAAAAGATATTACTTCCAGTGTTAGGGCATATAGATTTCGATATTGAGTTTCCCAAGGTTTTCCATTATGTAGTCAGAAATGCCCGCTGATTCCATCGAACGGGCAAGATGGCCGAGTTGGTCTAAGGCGTCAGGTTAAGGTCCACCTTAACTCCCACTGTTTCGGCAGTTTCCTGATCTACGTTTGTAGGCGTGGGTTCGAATCCCACTCTTGTCATTTCCTTTTTTGTTGTGCTTCTAGCTAGCCGTTCAGCTAGTCTATCTAGTCTTATTCAATTCCTTTTTTTTTCTTGGTTAAATTGCTAGTAAGTAGAGAAGACCACAAAGGTGCATGATACGCTAGCGCTTTATTCTATAGGTTGTGACATACACGAGCGCCATAGGAACCGGACCTACACTACAAACCACACAAAAAGTGCGAGCTAACTCTGAATTAGCTTGAACGGTGCTAAGGGCAGTGGACTCCTGCGATAATAGACGATAAGTGGAGTGTTAGTTGTAGTTTAGTTTGCTCAAATCGACGGACTTTTACAATCATTTGTATGCACATACCCGCTTGAGAATAGTCTTCTTGACGATCTATCTAAGTAATGTATACACCGATTTCTGATCTATTAAAAGCCAGGCATATATAAGAGGTACCGCTGAAACCGGGTAGTCAATAGCAGCGATATATGCAAAGCGAGCACCTGGCGACCCCACGGTACTATCAACCCCACAACTAACAAGGGACTTATGGATACCTGATTTCCCCAACTCTCTGGTTCAGCCTCAAACTATCATATGGTGCCAGTTAACTATCTTATTCGTCGAGGCAGTGATAAGCACACCGCGGGTTGAACAGGCCGCCTGAAATACAAGTGGGACGCCATCTATAGACTTTGTGAGTAATATAACGCGAACATACCAAGGAACAACACGATACCATCATAATTAGACACGACCAGGTCTGAAAGAAGACAAAGTGAGTAAAATTCTGGATATAGACCAGATATATGAATAACAAGTCTATGGTATTGTCAAGGAAATACTTTCCGGAGGCATGGGAACAGAGATTACTATAATACAACCTTGCGCCTAACATATAACATCGACTGGGCTAAAAGACAGGGCTATAGGCTGATCTCCGTATCCTTCATTGTGCTTAGGCATATTTCGAAGCCAATAACATAGAGGTGGCACCCACAACCAAAACCTTGAGCAGAAACCGAATCCCAAATTCTTTTGGACACTACCAAGTAGCATGGAGTTTCTCGATTGCGCGTCTTTATCCATACGGGAATGTCATATAATAGGCCGCGTGAGCCTATTGATTCCTTCCACCTTTAGCCACTGCGCGGTCCTATAAGAAGTATAGGCCACTATGTAGCCGTGATGGCTTACTTCTTCATTCTTTGCTATGCGTATAATACTACTTTGAGTAGAGCGTAGGAGATCGTTCCCACTGTACACCGAAAGATAAACGGCGCCCGTCGCTAACACGCTGATATCCCAAATTAACATTCTCAAACACCACAGATATTCCAAGATAATCCCAAGAAGTCTAATCAGAAAGAATCTGCACGGACAGACAAGACCAGGGCCTTCAGTGGTTCTGATGTGGTAGGTTGTAGTAGGATGCTATATAACAGCAGACAAAATAGCGGCCACATTAATCACATGTATATTGACTATCATAGATAGCCATTTCTGGGGATCCGGTAGAGATGAAGTTATATACAGAGTAGAAGAGACATAATGGCCGTGGTAAATAGTGATGCCCTACTAAGAGCAAATATACACCTAAGCTGATCCGACGACAGGATAATGACTTCATTTGACTACGACACTAGTTCAGCTTATTGAATACCAGATAATGAAGTTATATAAGTGACTATGTGAGAGTATCAATGAATTTTTGATTTGATGGAATTGATCAGTGCGTGTATGTTACGTACGTTACGATTATCGTTATTAGGACTGCGTTTTGGGTCAAAATCCATTTTCCGCTTATGTAGTCAAAAGCGACCGCACTCTCCATCGAGCAGGCAAGATGGCCGAGTTGGTCTAAGGCGTCAGGTTAAGGTCCACCTTAACTCCCACTGTTTCGGCAGTTTCCTGATCTACGTTTGTAGGCGTGGGTTCGAATCCCACTCTTGTCATTTCTCTTTTTGTTTTCGCTTCTCTACCCTGATCCCCTGATCTACCTACCGACCATACCGTAAAGTTTATTTATCTATCTACGGCCGGTTGCGCTTCTTTTTGTCTATTCTTACGGCATTATTGAGATATACTCCTACATCCCATATAAGCCCTTCTCGGCTTATCAGGCCCTCTAGCCAACTGCCCCAACTAGGGATTGTTATACGCAACACCAATATTTTAGGTTAGAGCAGTTAGACGTCATGGTGCACTGATCATGTAACAAAGGCGTTCGTATATAGAGAGTTATAGGAGGTCCTTGCTAGGACAGGTGTTTAAAATTATGGGCCTCGTAAGTACTTAAGTAGGTATCCAGGTTGCAATGGATGGAAGGTGGCACTCCTAATGTGTGTAGACAACCATGGACTGACTATCTTGTGAAAGACTCAACGCACTATATTGCCATACACGCATTATCTATGGGTCTTAACTCGTTCTCCTATTCCACCAGTGTTTCTATCTACTGGGGCTCACACGTCGATTTCAGTAGCCTTGGACGTATCCTAGATATTATAGAGGGAAGACGGTAGCGGCAGGAGAAATGCAGTAATGCGGATACCCTTGCTGGTGGTTCATGTATTGCTTGACTGGTATATATGTATACCATGCTCGAACTTGGATACCCACTGAGCACTGGATCCAAACTTCGGCGTAAGATGTGGATATTAATTAAGCATAAGATAATACCTTGCAACTCCACAGACCATTGTACTACAAAGGTTCCCTGGGTTATATTATATTTTACTTGGAGGTATTTCTATAGCTCTATTATGTAATAATATTCTTTCGTGTTATCGTAGCAATCGAGCATGAACCCTACATCAATAGAACAAAAGTGTTGCGAAGCTAACCAAGATTGGGGTAAACAAGCATGTCATACATAGAAAGACGTTGTGCCGGATAACCTTCGTCACAGCCTCGTTTCAGTGCTGACCCGTCAACCAAACGTCGATGGTGGCAGTTAGCATGACCAGACCCATCTTTGCTGTCATCGTTGTCATCATTATACGTCAACAAGAAGTATGATCATGGAAACGTCAATGCATTATATCATCCTTATGCACATCCATCATGTTTACTTCATTATTACTATATTTACTACCTCGTCATTACTGCTCATCTGCAGTATAAAAGATGATATTTACACTTCACCTGGTTGACAGGACGTCTAACTAATAAAAGACACGGTCACCTTTTACAGACGTGCCGTATTTTATGCTAGTGCACATGTCATGTGGGAATATAGTAGTGCTCTTATACCCATGAATATAGCGTTTAGCAATACCAGCAAGGACCTCATGATAGCAATTACTCCGATTTCAAGTTCAAGACATAATGATTAGCAAATTATACACATGGTTGATAGGTCGAGTACAGAGTTAAAATCTTTAACGCTGCTATTTGACGTAGAGTTCTATCACTAGTCGTCTATTATCGCAGGAGTCCACTGCCCTTAGCACCGTTCAAGCTAATTCAGAGTTAGCTCGCACTTTTTGTGTGGTTTGTAGTGTAGGTCCGGTTCCTATGGCGCTCGTGTATGTCACAACCTATAGAATAAAGCGCTAGCGTATCATGCACCTTTGTGGTCTTCTCTACTTACTAGCAATTTAACCAAGAAAAAAAAAGGAATTGAATAAGACTAGATAGACTAGCTGAACGGCTAGCTAGAAGCACAACAAAAAAGGAAATGACAAGAGTGGGATTCGAACCCACGCCTACAAACGTAGATCAGGAAACTGCCGAAACAGTGGGAGTTAAGGTGGACCTTAACCTGACGCCTTAGACCAACTCGGCCATCTTGCCCGTTCGATGGAGTCTTCGGGTATTCTGACTTTATAATTGAAAAAAGCGAATATTAATAGTTGATGTAACAACCCTGTATACGTACGGAGTGTTTCCAATTTTCCTATGTATAAAGAGCTTCTGTTCTTATGGTTATCTAACATTTTGTACATATTCATAAACATATTGGTAGGCCTGCAGCTTATTGATCAATAATTATTCACATTTACAACCGAAATATCTGTTAGGTAGTATACATCAAACACAGGCATATATAGCCATGATCCTAAGTCAAGAAACCCAAATGGCACAAAATACATCAAAATGGCAGAGAATAAATCATGCCCACTGCCGAGGGTGTCGCAGCACATCCATAATTTCCTTCTCGCGAGACCTATCCTCTGTCAGCTCTTCATCCTCGCCTACGACCATGTTCTCTGTCCGTGTGCCAGAGACTGGATCCATGTAGGCCCAACTGGCAGTGCGAGGAAGACTCATCAGAATACTCTCGATACGGGCATTCGGTGTGCGCAAGCCGAAGCTGGTTCCGCGGTCATAGACAAGGTTGAACTCCACATAGCGACCACGGCGAAGCTGCTGCCACTCCTTTTGCTCTGGAGTATAAAGCATGTCCTTCCGTCGCTCAATAATGGGAACATACGATGGGAGAAAAGAGGCTAAGCCATCAGAGACGAAAGAAAACAGGGTCTCCTGGGGGTTGGAAGATGACCCAGCAGAGGTTTGAAGGAAGTTGGCATCGAGGTCATCGAAGAAAATGCCACCAACACCACGGCACTCGCCACGGTGGGGAATGTAGAAGTACTTGTCACACCAGGCCTTGAACTTGGGATAGTATGTAGCATCGTGGCGGTCGCAAGCATCCTTGATGGTCTTGTGGAAATGCTGAGCATCTTCGGGGAAGAGGTAGGTTGGGGTCAGATCAGTGCCCCCACCAAACCACCAGTTCTTGTCACCGTTGATAGGATCCTTAGGATCCGAGGTCTCGAAGTATCGGTAGTTGAGATGAACAGTCGGGGCCATAGGGTTGTGCGGGTGCAGGACAAGCGATAGACCAGCAGCGAAGAAATCCAGAGAATCCACGTCGGAGCCAACAAAGGACTTGTGGTCGGCACGCATTTTCTCAATGGCAGGTCGGGGCAGTTGTCCGTACACCACAGAAACGTTCACGCCTGCCTTCTCGAAGACGTTACCGTCCTGGAGTACACATGAAATGCCGCCGCCACCATTGGGACGCGTCCATGTATCTGTCTTGAATTGTTTCCCATCAATCCGGCCTAGTTCCTCGATGATCTTTTGTTGGTGGTCCTTAATGAGCTTTTCCATTCGTAACCGCATCGGCGAGGACTCGTTGATGGCGGATGATTGTTTGAGGGCCTCATCTATTTCAACCATGGAAGGAGACTCGAGTTCAGTGACTTCTTCGTTCATCTAGGGGTGATATTAGTATATATATGCTTATGCCACAGAGGAAGTAATGTCCCTACCATCGAGTAAATGATCGCGCCAATGAACGGCACGCCAATGGCGAGCCGTAAGTAGGGTCTCCAAACAGTGAAGGGCTTTGGTTGACTGGATTTCTGTTCAGTAGAATATCCGCGGAACGAAGGCCCGGCACGACGACCAGCAATTCGCGTGCTGCGCGCGGACAACTGAGCCAACGACCTCCGCAGAGGCGTGTATGATCGGGTGGACATTTTCGCAATTGGATCAAGTGTGCAATTGGCTATTGCCGGCGCAATACTTTTCCGAGATAATTGTAATTGGCGAGAATACACTCAAGTCTTTAGAAAAAAAAGAATGAACAGGACTGGGAGAATTCCAGGTCAAATAGGACCACGCAACTTTGGTTCAAATCGTACGACATTCTAGAGCTGAGTTTGTTCTGTTTGTTTGGATGAGATAAGCACGATAAGCCCCGAGCTAAGGCAGCAGTGGCAGAATCCTATAGCTGCCAGTACCAATAGTATGATACCTATTAGACGTGTTTGCATAAAAGCCTTACGTTAAAGACTATTTTACTTACAACCCTCATATGTTTACTGTTTGTCCACGTGAGATCTGAAAGGCATCTGATTTCTGCCGCGTGACTGTGACTCACCGCCCCTGGATCCCGTGATGGTATTACCGTAACGTCAGCGGGGGAGTCGCCTTGTCATCCTCTATCACCCCTCTTCATCTCTCTCTCCTCATTCTGCTTCCGCAGGCAACTTCATATCTACAGCTTCCCACAAAGAGGCTATTACGCCTACTAAAGTTCCATCCGTGCCCCCTGGTACCTTGATCTCACTTACTCTCCACCCGACCCGCTCTCACTTATCAACCCGCCTTATCAGTCACGATGCGCTCCAAGTTCAAGGACGAACACCCCTTCGAGAAGCGAAAGGCTGAGGCCGAGCGCATTCGACAGAAATATGCTGACCGCATTCCTGTAAGTTTCCAGACCGCAAGAATGGGGATTTACTTCCAGAGGTTGCTGGTTGCTGCAACCAACACCCCGGTCCTCACCGCTTATTCGGCAGCTAACGGATTATCAATCTACAGGTCATCTGCGAGAAGGTTGAGAAGTCCGACATCGCCACCATCGACAAGAAGAAATACTTAGTGCCGGCCGATCTCACTGTGGGACAGTTCGTCTATGTGATCCGCAAGCGCATAAAGCTTTCTCCCGAGAAGGCCATCTTCATCTTCGTGGATGAGGTTCTTCCTCCAACAGCTGCCCTGATGAGCAGCATCTACGAAGAGCACAAGGATGAAGATGGCTTCTTGTACATCACGTACGTTTTTCTCTCTCCCCCCTTTCGTTGTTTTGATAAAATCTTATTGACATAACGGGTAGATATTCCGGCGAGAACACTTTCGGTGACCTTTAAAGGTTGATCAGTCTCTCTCACTCGCTCTGCTGTTTAGCTACCACGAGCAGCGTCGTTGATGGAGGAACGGGCAGGCGAGAAGACATTTGCAACCTTTGGATTCTGGTCTTAGGTCACTCTGGCGTTTAATTTGGTGTTCTCTGCGCATTTTCGTTTTTGATTTTGCTTGACAACTATGCTCTACTAGCTGCAAACACACAATCATTACGAATATTTTCTGGTTGTGATATCAACTCTGGGTCTTTTGCCATTTACTTAGGGATTTCTGTTGCGTTAAAGACTCAACTTAGAAAGCCAACCGCAGAACAGGCTATCGAGCAGGGAAATATGAATATCTTCCAAGCAATGATATAGCCAAAAAATATTCAAACTAATCCGTTTACCCCAGAGTCGTAGTCAATAAACTTAGATGCCTCGGCTACTGTACCTAGCGGATCTACTCCACGTCCTTAGCGGCCTATTGGGACCTGACTAAATCCGAGTCCAGAACGCCTGAGACTTTAGCTGGCATTCGGACCCAAGCGGTACGGACTCTTACTTCGGGCCATGTAGAAGCTTAGTTGTTGGCATCTATGGTGGTCATCATGCGTTAACATGTAGTCTAATTGAAAAGGGAACCCGGTCTCCAAATATGCCTACTCAAAATGCAGAGTAGGCCAATCTAAATAAAAGGATGAACATGTACCATTACTATTTTGCTACTAGACTAAAATGATTTTTAACAAATTTTGACCCTGCCGCACACAATACATAAGGTGAAATTGAAGAATAGACTATATGTGCTGAAATAAACATGGACAATGTTAGTTGCTGATTAACTGAGGGATTATGCTATAAATAAAGGATGCTGTTCACTAGGACTTATGTTGAAGCGCTCTGGGGTATTCTAGTTGCTGTATAATACAGCCTGGCGTACAGAGTGTGCTTGCAAGATGGATGACAACCCATATGTTGTACGAACTTACCAAGGAGATACAAATTTCTCGAGATACACCTGAAAATTTCATTTTGTATGCGGATATGCTTCTCAACCGGTGAGAATGTTCACAATTTTCCTTTCGCAACAATAATGATTGAAGCGACAATTTTTGGAAAGCGAGACAGGTATTGACTCCTAGCTAAAATGTGTGGCTGTGGCATCCTCCGCAGAATAAGACAATAACAAACCATTGCAGGTTATGATATTCAATTCATGAGTTGTTAATGATTCTTATGTAAAGCCTTGGCCCAATTTTAGACCAAGTGAACTAAAAAGCACCCAAATAAACCCCAGGACAACAACATTGGTGACTTGATGGCATCACAAAGATGATTGAAGTTTTTTGACAAGAGCATGAATAATGCGAGGTGAGTCAAATCAGAAACAATTGAAGCAGTATGAAAAAGAATGAAGTTGCGATAACTTACGATGTCTATAGAACTCCGATGGCGGCCCCCGAACGGGACTAGCGCCAATCCGCCCGATTAAAATTTAACTCCGAGCACATGTTCCTGACTCCATCACTGGTGTTGTCATTCTCATTCTTTTTGGTCTTTTCCTTTAAAAATTAGAAAATATGTCTCCTGCTATTGCCGCCGGTGCTGGCGCCGCCTCTAAGGATGTCAAGAAGGAGTCTGCCACTGCTCGTCTCCTTGGTTCCGGTATGTCGACGTGAACATGATCCCTCAACCCATTGCTAACCTGTGACTCCTCTAGGCTCTGCCGGTATCGCCGAGTTGATGATCTTCCACCCCGTACGACCGATATCCCCTCCGGATTCTAGAGCCATTGCGACCTGAAACTAACAACTCCCACAGGTTGACACCACCGCCAAGCGATTGATGAGCAACCAGACTCGGGTGAGATTGGGATGATATGCAGTTTGTATGTGTCTGTCGCTGACCAGGATGTTCACAGATCACCAACGCTACCGCTTTCAAGGAGGTCGTCTTCAAGGAGTACGCCAATGCCTCCGTCGCCCGCAAGTTCACCTCTTTGTTCCCCGGTCTTGGTTACGCCGCGGGTTACAAGGTTTGTGACTCCTTTGGATCAAACATGGAAGGATATACAGCTTACACGATTGGAATCTCTAGGTTCTTCAGCGTATCTACAAGTACGGTGGTCAGCCTTTCGCACGCGACTACCTCGCTCAGCACCACGGTGCCGACTTCGATAAGGCCTTTGGCAAGGGTACTGGCAAGGCTATTATGCACGCCACTGCTGGAAGGTAAGACAGACTGAACAATTACACGGGACAGAACTTGGTACTAACTCAGACAATCAGTTTGATCGGTATTGGAGAGATCGTCCTCCTCCCCCTCGATGTCCTCAAGATTAAGCGTCAGACCAACCCCGAGGCCTTCCGTGGCCGTGGCCTTTTCAAGATTATCTCTGATGAGGGTATGGGTCTCTACCGCGGCGCTGGCTGGACTGCCGCCCGTAACGCCCCTGGCTCTTTCGCTCTCTTCGGTGGTTCCGCCTTTGCCAAGGAGTACATCTACAGCCTCAGCGACTACAACGCCGCCAGCTGGGGCCAGAACTTCGTCGCCTCCGTCTGCGGTGCCAGTGCTTCCCTGGTTGTCTCCGCTCCCCTAGACGTGATCAAGACCCGTATCCAGAACCGCAACTTCGAGAACCCCGAGTCGGGCTTCAAGATTGTCTCCAAGATGCTCAAGCACGAGGGTCCCACCAGTTTCTTCAAGGGCTTGACCCCCAAGCTGCTGATGACTGGTCCCAAGCTGGTCTTCAGCTTCTGGCTGGCACAGACTTTGATTCCTGCTTTCGGTCAGGTTGTATAGAAACCTCTGTTTCATAATTGTTGTCAAGATCCCCCCCATTTTTCTCTCTTCTTTTCGGACTAGGTCAAATTCCCCAGGCCGTTTTTGTATTTCTCATAGATGTTTATTTTCCTACGGGGGTCAACATAGCTTATATTTCCGGAATGCGACGAACTCACTCTACTTTCTAAATGTACAAATTGTGTACATCTGTGCAAGGATCATATCAAATTATAAACAAAGGTATACTTAGTTCTATTTCTATTTAAATGACATGGATTCTATTGTTCATGCGCAAAAAATCACAAGAAAAAGGGATGTATGGTGGGAATATCAACAGAAAAACCGATGTAACAATGAAAAAGGCGCAAATGCAGATGTATGAAATATGTCTGCCGGGTTTATACAACATTCTATTGACCGGCAACAGCACTTCGTTGCTTTGCTAACCAGCCCTTGGAATCTGCTGTGCTGGCTCCATGTCGATATCGTGATACCGTCATGTTGTTATTCTGCCACCGGCTCTGGAGGTGATACCAAGCCGAGCCCACGAGGCTTAACTCTCGGGCTTGGCTATCAATAATCTTCTGGAGTTCAAGCTGGAGAAAAGCGTTAGTATACTGCTATAGGCTGGCGGGGGGAGGGTTCAGTTCGTGACTTACCTCTCGTTCCTTCGGGATGCCATCGTCCAGGTTCTCTTCGTAGTTCTTCATACGCTCACGCAGCGACTTGACGAGCTCATTCTGTTGCTGGATATACTGTAAAAACAAGCGCAAGTTAGCATGTCGGATGTCAGGTAACATTGACGGGAGTGAGGGACTGACCTCTGCACGTTGAGCAAGCCGCTCAACATTCTTCTCCAGAACTCCAGCGCACTGTTTTAACAGGTCAAAGCTCGATTTCTGAGGTACTTCGCCGCCTTCATTGTGAGTCTCAAACTCGCCCAGCAGCATCTGCATCTCTTTCATCACTTCCTGGTCCTCCGAGCTGATTTCACTCTGCTTATTGTCGAGCATTTTGCGCAGCTCTTCTCGCTCTGCGCAGACTTCGCGCACTAGAGTCTGGCTGGCATCAACCTCAGCCTCCAAGTGATGGACGTTATGGGTGAGACTATCCCAATCACCGCGGATTTTTGTCAATTCAGCTGAATTGTGCTCTTCGAGGCCGCGAAGCATGTCAACCTGCTCCTCGTTGACAAGTCCAACTTTGAGAATGTCAGCAATAGGTACTTGAGAAGAATGTGAAGTAATGGCTGCCTTACGTTCGGTCTGTGTATCTGCGAGGTCCTTCTTGGCAGTTTCCAAAGTATCTTGGACCTCTGCAATCTTTTTGAGTACCCCAGTGTAGTTCTCGTAGAGTTTCCAGTACTCGTCACTGTAAAACAATGTTAGAACTATCATACATGAAATGGCTGATGATCATACCTTTGTGTAGAGTTGGCGCGTGCCAGCTGTACAGACGCAGCAAAGCCTTCAGAGAAACCCTCTGTGTGGGATTCCGGCTGAAAATAGTCAGTCTCAACTGAATATAGTAAGTGGATAGGTGTCTTACAGCTGTCGAAGGTGCCTTGAGAGAATCCATTTCCCGCTTCAGGTCATCATTCTCAGATTTGCTGTGCAATGGTTAGCATCAGGCAAGAAGCCGAAGAAAAGGAATTTACATACAGCTGAGACTCTTTGACACCGATGGCTTCAAAGTCCTTGTGCAATGTTCCTTGCATCTTTGGTGTCTCAGAACCAGGGGACGGACTGCCTGGCAAACCGTCCATTTCCCCGAGGCGCTCGCGCAATTCGCTGATCAAGGCATCGTCCCTTTCATGCTGTTCGTCTGCACTTTCCAATCGCTCTGTTAAGGCGTGGTTGTTGAACTCAAGCTGTTTCTTGAGGTTCTGGATCTCGTTGCATTCCTGCTCAATACGTGGCAGAAGCTTGCGATATTCCTCCAGTTCCACATCGCGTTCTGAAGACCATCGCTGCTGCGAGTCTGACTCCTTGAGCTGTTGCTGGATATCTTTGATCTGATTCTTGAGAGTTTGGTTCTCTTTCTCGAAATCTTGGCTGGCTTGCAGTTTCTGGCGGTATTTCTCAGCAGCGTTAGCCTTGCGCGCAAGCTGATCCTTCTCAGTCCGGAGTTCATCATAGTCATCTTGTAGCTTCTGATAGCGTTGGTTCTTGACGCGCAAGGACTCGACGGTCATGCGAAGACTGTCAATTTCGTCTTGCGCGGCGGTCAATTTCGCTTCTTGGGACGCAATGAGGTCATCCTGTTGGCGAGTCTTGCTTTCTAATGCCTTTGCATTGAACCCGACATCACCCTTTCCAGATTTTAATGTGACGAGCCGGTCCTCGGTGGAAGCAAGGCGGTTTTGGAGGGTATCGTTGTTCTCCTGAAGGCGCGCCAGGCGGTTGTGCAAGTCCTCCAGTGCCTTCTCCAACTCCTTTTTCTCATGTGTCAGACGATCATTCTCGGCAAGCACCTTTCCCACGCGCTCTTCAAACTGCAGTTCGAGGTCCACGGGACGATCGCGTTTGGCCAAGTCCTCCCGGAGCTCATCTGCGGCGTCCATTGGTTCATGTTGACCATTGTGCGCCTCCTCAATTATATCCTTGAGCCCCTCTTGTGTCGAAGTGCTTAGTTCCTGGAGGGTTTGCACATATGTACCGGCGTTCGGGGAGCTGATAGCCGCGATCAGGAGAAGCTTTAGCAGCTTGTTCGTCTCTTTGCCGGACGCTTTCTCGGCAATCGCTTCGAGGTCAGGCGACGGGTCGAGACCGGAGGGTAAGGTGTCATCGTTTTGGTGCCGAATGTAGTTGAGGAGAAGCTTGTGGATGTGCTTCAAGTTCTGCCATTTGGCCACCCAATGGTCAGATGGGTTGCGCTCTGGGATTCCCTCGAGAAAATACTGAGGGTCAATGTCCTGGAGGATCTCCCATAGGATAATCCCATCGGTCAATTCATCGGTGGCTCGGAGTGTCTTTCCCAACGAAAAGCTGTTGATCCATTCCAACAAAACCTTGGTGACCATGTGTTCCGATGCCATGCTGGCAATAATGACGCGTTTCAGAGAATCCAAGATCCTTGAGACTACCAGAAAAGCGAGGAAGTGCCTTTGGGTTCAAGGGAGTTTCGGATCCACGCGCGTCGGGGGGGGGGGCCATAGGACCGAACTCGACTAGCGGGGGATGATCGTCTCCAGTCCCCAGGCTCTACGAAGTACACACTTGCTATAACTCATACAATTGTGATTAATGCACGTTACCTAAATTGTCAAACTATAACCCCCTGAATCCAAGAGCCATATGGGCAAAACTAACTCCACACAAACACCCAAACACCGTAGTCCTCCTTGGTGAATCTCCACTATATGTCCAGAGCCAGCTCGAGCGTCATACTAACCCCAGAGTCTTTTCGCAAGACATTTAAAATGCTCCAACATCGCCAACGTAGTCCCCGTTTGCAGTCACAATCTTATCTTCTTCAATGTCCGGCTGATAACGGGTGTCTTGTGTTGTGAGGCTCTGGAGAGCGTTCACGGGGGCCTCGGCAGCGAAACCACTAGATGTATGGTTAGATTTCAATGATATTGATAGAAGTTGCAAAGGTTGTAAGGATCGCAAGAGTCGCGAGAACCAACAGGGGCCATACTTGATCAAATCTATAGAAAGCATCAGCATCAATGTGGTACAAATCTAGACCCAGAGAAGAACTTACGGTATTCATGAGTGATTACACCACCCTAAAAGTGTCAGTAAATATTCATAACAACCTCATAAAATCAGAGGTGCGCTGCGTACAGAAGCCACCAGAGAATCTTTGGCCCGCGTAACGACCGAGTCAGGCGTGCCCTTAGGGAAAGTCACGATGACAGACTTGAGCACTTTGGCAGCCAGCACCATAGGCAAAGCACCCAGTAGGATTGCAGCAAAAGATAGCTTCATTGTGAGTATACAAAGTATATCAACTGTTCAAGTTGAGCAAGTGAAGTTGCATGCGACGTCTGGCGTCATACCTTGATCACATGACCCGGGCAATCCCTTTCTCTTCGGCGCTTCATTTCATTCGCGCCCCTCTCCGATATCTTTCCTTAACTCTACGGCGCTGCATTCTCGTATATCCCTGTCTCTGCACCCTTGCTATCTCGTTTGATTCTGAGTATCTTGGTGGTTTTTTCCCCTGGGACGTGACACTGAAGCATTTTTTCCTCTTCCCCAGGCGATCATTGACTTGAAGGACGGTAGATACACAAGGTCTCTGGAAGGTCACGGGCTGGGTTGGACTGAGGGCAAGCGTCATCCTTTTGTTTCAGGTTTTCGCGAAGATAGCTAGCAAGCATTTACAAGTTCCGACTTTTTCTCCATCTTGTGTTGATCCAAGAGAACCTGTTCCTTGGAACGAGGACGAGGATTAAGAAAAGCAAGCGATAGTTGCAACGGAAAAAGAAAGCTACCAGAGAACAATCTGAAGAGATCCCCATTGGGAGAACAGAAGAAGAAGAAGAAGAAGAAGAAGAGAGAAAAAGCCAGCAGAAGTGAGAGAAAGACAACTCAATCCAACAGGTCCCTCCCTCGTGAACGTGAACGCCTCGCGGTATCGGATATCCTCTCGACAACCTCTTTACCACCCTGTCGAATTTTCCATACCCCATCATGTCGGGTCTCATTTCTGACGAGATCGCCGAGGACTACAAGAGCTCTCTGGAAGACTTGGTCACGAACGATGCCTCCCAAATCCGCAACTTGACCGTCATTGCCAAGGAAAACACAGAATATGCACAAGCTATCTCCCGGGTCTTGGAGAATCACATTAACTCAGTAGGTGCTCCTCTTGCGCGTAGCTTGAGATGATTCTAACCTTCTTGTAGAAACAGACTCCACCACCTCAAAAGCTCCCAGCCCTGTATGTAGTCGATTCCATTGTCAAGAACATTGGTAGTCCCTACACACTATTCCTGGGCCGGAACATGTTTTCGATCTTCATTAATGCATACTCATCGGTGGATCCGATGACTCGGAAAAAGCTGGATGAGATGCTCAACACATGGAAGCAGCCGGCCCCGGGCTCCCTCGATACTCGCCCTGTTTTCCCTCCTGAGCTCACACGCAACATCGAGAGCGCCCTCATCAAGGCGCGCACTGCAGCTCTACAACAGCAACAGGCTAGAGGTCAAACGGACCTTCTTGGCCGTCGCGGAAATACAACTCCAACTGGGTGGAACAATGGCCCGTCTCAGAACATGCCTCGACACCTTCAGTATCCCAATAACCATACCTCGGTGAGACCTTATTCGCCCTGGCCTCAAGTTTAAGCTAATCTGAACTTTAGACACCTCCCATGAGCAACCGAGATATCGATTTGAATTACCTCAACCGAGACTTGGATAGCTTGATTACTTCTGCGAGGAACGACTTTGCCAATAGCCCATTCAACCCTGCCTGTCAACAACGCCTTAAAGCACTGCTAGATCTCCAGGGTATTCTACAGAGGCAGCAGTTGACCCAGGAACAGTTGAAACTTGTCCGCGATCAGGTCTCCATGCTTGCCGCCACCAAACCCCCATCTCCCTCTAACGCTACTTCGAACGGTCCGGTAGCTCCTCCGCCAATCCCTGCTCCACCCGTGCAACCAGTTTCTCAACCTCTTCAAAACCTGTTGAATCCCGGAACTCTCGCTGAGCTGATCAAAGCTACTGCTTCACGTCAACACCCAACTCCGCCTCCTCAAATTCCTGCTGTACTGCCTCAGATGCCCATTCCTCAACAAAGCAGTACTCCACAGCCAGCTGCACCAGAGAACCCTCTTATTGCGGCCTTAAGGGCGCGTGGTATTTTACCTGGTGGCTCTGCATCTTCGACACCGGTTCCTGGGCCTACATTGCCGTTCATGATGCCCACTGGCATGCAATCTATGCCGCCTGCTCTCCCGACTCAAACGCCTCCCTCTAATGGCTCATCTGGTGTTCCCATGAACAACACATCTCTGAGAGTTCCCCGACCTGGGCTCATCGTCTCTCTCTATGACTCTAGATCAAACAGATGTGGAACTTGCGGTCGTCGATTCTTTGCTACCGAGGAAGGAAAGGAAATGAAGGCACGCCATCTGGATTGGCATTTCAAGACTAACCAGCGCATGACTGAGGCTTCCAGGCGAGCCCAGAACCGTAGCTGGTACGTCGATGAAAAGGTATGTTCATTTCTTCTACATATATTAGGGTAGGATTCTAACTGCAAATAGGACTGGATCAAATCTCGCGAAGCTGGGGACGATAGCGGCGCTCTGGATCCTCAAGCTACCGAAGGTGGCGATGGCACAGACGGCGCTTCCAAGCAAGAGCCCCCCAAACCCTGGATTCGGGCTCCGAACGATGCTACGCTCCGCAAAACCCCATGCCCCATCTGCCAGGAGATGTTTGAGTCGACTTGGTCCGAGGATGTTCAGGACTGGATCTGGCAAGATGCTACTAAAGTGGGAGCTCGTGTCTTCCATGCCAGTTGTTACGCCGAAGTTACGAAGGATGGCCCTGCACCCGCGCGTGGTACGCCACAAGCGCGCACTGGCACGCCGGATTCAGTGCTGGGCAAGCGCAAAGCGGAAGTAAGTTCACCTGAGAGTCTTTTATCCAATTCAATGCTAATCCTGCATAGGGAATTGAGTCTCCAGGTCAGAAAACGCGTGTCAAAATGGAACAAGCTTGATTTTTTTGTAACATACCCCTATACTTCGCATGACTCTTACATTGCATAGGGCATATCTCCCTGGCGTTTAGCGAATTCATATCTATTACATTCCACTCCATTGTAGTATATCCGACATGACGTTGCTGGAATTCTGCCCCGCTCGGAGTATGTGCGGAGCCCCCATTGCTCCACTGATTATAAATATTTCATATAAATACGACGTTGGGGCTTGCCAGAGACTCTTCAGTCTTACACCTTCGGATTCTCGTTTTTGTGTCTGCAATCTACATTCCATCATGGCGCCGCATATTGTTCGGTGGGGTATTATGGGTATGGGACCACATTGAAGATTAAGACGAGAGAATGATGCTAACTCATTGATAGCCACTGGCTGGATCGCTGAGAGTAGGCTCCCTCCAATGCCATCAGACGTATAGAAAATTATCTAACCACTGCCGGCAGTGTTCACCAAGGACCTTCTCAACGATCCAACCCGCCGTGATGTCACGGATGTAGCCCACCAAGTCGTTGCTGTCGCGTCGTCTTCCTCCAAGGCAAAGGCCGAGGATTTCATCGCGGCTAGGGGCATTACCACCGCCTGTGCCGCCTACGGTGACTACGAGTCACTCGTGGCTGATCCCAACGTAGATGTCATCTACGTCGCAACCCCCCACTCCCACCACTACCAGAACGTCAGGCTGGTACTGGAGGCCGGCAAGAATGTTCTGTGCGAAAAGGCGTTCACCGTCAACGCTGCACAGACAAAGATCCTTGTGGATATCGCCCGCGAGAAGAACCTCTTCCTGATGGAAGCTGTCTGGACTCGCTATTTCCCACTCAGCATCCAGATTCGTGAGCTCATTCAGAAGGGCGAGATTGGCGAGGTTCTTCGCGTCATTGCGGATACAAGCTTTGGTGATGATGTCGAGGAGAAATGGGGCACAAAGCACCGTATGGTGAACCCTGATTTGGCCGGTGGTGCTCTATTGGACTGTAAGCTCTCAGGACGAGACACGTTTGTGCAGACTCTCTTATGCTGACCGAACCGCTCAGTGGGAATCTATTCTCTCACCTGGGTTTTCCAGACTCTCTACCACACTCTGCCTCGAGGCCAGAGGAAGCCACCTACTGTCTCTGCGCAGGTTACTCCCTACCACCTCACCGGTGCCGATGAGTCCACCACTATGCTCTTAAACTTCCCCACAAGCACTCCTTCCAATGGCGCATATCCCAAGCAATCTCAAGGTGTGGCCATGACTAACATCCGTGTTTCTACTGATCCCGATGAGAAAGGATCTGCTGGCCCTGCTATCCGAATTCAGGGCACCAAGGGTGAGATCCAGGTTGCTGGTCCAGCATTCCGTCCTGTGTCTTATCGTATCATTCCCAAGAAGGGCTGCGGTGAGATTCGTGAGGTCCAGTGTCCGTTCCCTAACAATGGCCACGGCATGTTCTGGGAGGCTGATGAGGTTGCACGTTGTCTCCGAGATGGCAAGAAGGAGAGTGAAGGCTTGCCATGGGAAGAGAGCATTGTGATCATGGAGGTCATGGATGAGGTGCGAAAGCAGGGTGGTTTGACTTATCCTCAAAAGATTGAGTCCATTGAATACCCTGTACAGCTGTAGGAGCTGACATGTGTATACGAGACATGTAAATATGGCTAGAAGATATCACTTTATTGAATCAATAAGTACGAATCTACATAAAGAAACAAGATTGGAATGTATGCCGGTTGAGTGTATTCGGTACTCAAAAGGTACACACATACTACTATACATGGCGGCCAAGGGGATAAATCCAGGTCTATATGTGGACAGAAACGCCAGCCAGCAAAATGCCCCCAATTAAGAAACCAACATAAGAAAACGGTAGGCAGCTTGACTGGCAAATTGTCCCAAAATACCCCTCGTTATCCTTTTTGAATGCAATTGAACCTCCTAAATCGTTTACTGGCGGAAGACACCAAGAATGCTCTTCCAGACCTGGCCGGGCTCCTGGCTGGCGTCAATGCCGCGCCAGATACCGGTCTTCTTGTAGTAGTCGACAACGGGGGTGGTCTGGGCGTGGTAGGTAGCCAAACGCTTGGTCAGTGTGTCGGCGTTGTCATCGGAACGCTGGATCAGGGGCTCGCCGGAGATATCGTCCTTCATGTCATCCTTGGGCGGGTTGAAGATCTTGTGGTAGGAACGGCCAGAGGCAGGGTGAACCAGACGGCCGGTGATACGAGCGACAAGCAGAGAGTCGTCAATCTGCAACTCAACGGCGTGCTGGAGCTTCTGCTTGCGGTCCGAGAGCATGTCGTCGAGACGCTCGGCCTGAGCGACGGTCCGGGGGAAACCATCCAGAATGAAACTGTCCCATCCATTAGTATCCCTGGCCAATCCCGAGTGATCTTACAGTATTTACGCACCCGTTCTTGCACTCGGTGTTGTTGTCAAGCTCGCTCTTGATCATGTTCACCATGATCTCGTCGCTGACAAGACCACCCTGGTCCATGATCTTCTTAGCCTCCTTTCCGAGGTCGGTCTTCTTCGCAACCTGTGACCGCAGCATGTCTCCGGTGGCCTAATTCAAGATCATGTTAGCGGATAGAGCTTATGCTGTGTTCAGACCAATTTCTACTTACCAGGTGGCACGCGCAGTACTTTTCCTTAAGGTTGGGGGCCTGAGTACCCTTGCCTGGCAAAAACAATCAATAACCATTCCACATCCTTCCATATAATTAGTTGGATCGCGTACCAGCACCAGGGGGGCCCATCAGGATGATGCGCATCTGCTCGGCGACAGACTTGGGCTGGCCGCCATTGGAGAGGCGACCCTCAAGCTCGGACACCTTAGCCTCGAGCTTGTTGATGGTGTCCTTCAGACCAGAGACAACCTCGTCGGTAATGGGAGCCATTGTGTATGTGGAGAAGGAAGAGGAGGTGATGTGAAGAGAAAGGCTTGAGTAGACGGGAAACCGGAGAAATGGGGAAAGGGAAGAATCGCACTAGGCGCCCGAGGTTCGGAGCACGGGCGCGGCATCCGTAGCAGTCCGCAAGGATAACCTGCTTAAACTACATGTTGACATGATGTTGACTTTGTGTACTAGGTATGGACAAGCTCTCTACAGAAATAGATATATATTTGTTGTTCTTATAGACAAATTGGCCAGTTCCTGGAGAACCTTGAAGTAGTTGCTGACTAAGTCACTAGCCGCATGGCGCAGGCCTGTGGCGCTAGAGAGCTCTCAGAGCACCTGCGCATCATCGCTTTCCATCCACATTCTCCCGTTTCGCGTTGATCTGCTATTCCCATTAGGTTCTTTTTGATCTCTGAGCTTGAATCGACCGAAAAGCTCCTGTCTCCCTTTTATCAACCGTCTTTGCCTCTTCCACCATGCCTGCCACTACGGCGGACACGCTATCCCTCGTCAACCGCTCCGTTACGGTTGCCCCGTTAGTCCTACTCTCTGTCGCAGATCACTATGGGCGGACAGCAAAGGGTACCCGGAAACGTGTTGTAGGTGTGCTGCTGGGTGAGAACTCGGGCGACAATGTCCGGGTATCAAACAGTTTTGCCGGTAGGTGCAAGCTTCGATCACGCCCACGTTACAGTTGAGCTGACATCTGTGTTTCTGAATCTAGTGCCTTTCGAGGAAGATGAGAAGGACCCATCCGTATGGTTTTTGGACCACAACTTCGTTGAATCGATGAGAGACATGTTCAAGAAGATCAACGCCCGTGAGAAGCTAGTCGGCTGGTACCACTCGGGTCCCAAGCTGCGCGCTTCGGATTTGGAGATCAATGAACTGTTCAAGAAATACACGCCCAACCCTCTGCTGGTCATTGTTGATGTGCAACCGAAGGAGGTCGGCGTGCCTACGGATGCTTACTTTGCTGTGGATGAGATCAAGGATGTGAGTTTGTGTCAACATGAGATCTATGCCGTGTCCGAATTGCTAACCGGGTGTGCTCACTCTCGCAGGATGGCACAACAACCTCCCGGACATTCGTGCACACCCCATCGATAATCGAAGCGGAGGAAGCAGAGGAGATTGGTGTAGAGCACCTCCTCCGAGACATCAGGGACGTTGCAGTGGGCACACTTTCCACTCGTATCACGTCGCAGCTGCAGTCGCTGCAAGGATTGCACCTGCGGTTACGCGATATTGGCCAGTACCTCCAGAAAGTCCTCGACAAGGAACTCCCCGTCAACCACGCTATCCTGGGCAACCTCCAGGACGTCTTCAACCTCCTTCCCAACCTGTCCACTCCCCCCGCCACGCAGAAGATTAGCGGCCAAGAACCACAGATTGAGAACAGCGAGCTTGCCCGCGCCATGAGTGTCAAGACCAACGACCAATTGATGGCCATCTACATCAGCAGCTTGATCCGTGCCATTACCGCTTTCCACGACTTAATCGAGAACAAGATCCAGAACCGACAGCAGCAGGAGGAGAGTGACTCGAAGCGGGAGCAGGAGAATGCGGGCAAGGGAGACAAAGATGCTAAGAAGGCCGGCTCGGCAAATGGCGAGCTGAAGGAGGAGCAGGATAGCTCCGACAAGAGCAAGAAGAACTAAGCAAAATTTCAATTTTCTTAGAACGAATTCTCATACAATTGAATACGACCATTGAGACTCAACCTCTATTCTAATGTGGATAGCTAAGGATAAGACCTCGACAACCCATATCCCGTCATCTTTGTGCTAGTATGAAGTAGGTCACATAGATTTTACCATATTCCGTGAAACAACACTGCAAATACCCGTCATGCAGCTTTATTTTGCCATCTCGCGAACTTGATGGTAGACCCGATGTGTAGCTGCAAGTACTGTTACTTCCAAGCGTCGGAGCCCAGCCCAACTGCAGTATGACATCTTTTGACTGTGTCCCGGGTTCCGACAGTCGTTCTCGAATGGACAGGAATTGGAGTCCATAGCCCAATGTTACCAGTGTATGCTCGACATGGTCCCTGTAGTGCCGCTGTTTCGCAGCTGTCATACCACAGGTCAAACACGACGGTGGTTCATGTATAGGCTCAGGCCATATCTTGCTCAATCAGGTTCATATTGATATGGTTCAGCAATCCCTCAATCGGGTCAACCACCCCAGCCGGCACACCATCCCGCCAGCTCCTCTTTGGAAATTGCACATCCGCCGTCCTGATCAACCCCAAACAGCCTCGGACACCGTACACTCAGGATACAGGCTAGGATATGTTTGCATACAGGAGGTGACAGCCGCGCTGTGCCACGAGCCATCGTCCCGCCGAAAGGGTAGACAATAGGCTCTTTCGGGAGTATCTCAGCATCGGGTTGGTCCTCTGCAGCTGCTAAGGTTTGATGAGTGTCCCTGTACGCCGAGATGGTGAATGTAGGACAGCTGCAATTCCAGGCACGCAGCCGAACCTCGTAGCCTTTGTCCTGGTCGCGCGTGAAGCTTGGGGGTGATGCGTCCAGGTGAGAAGGTACCGAGGCAGAAATTACGATGAACATGTCCTCGTTGGCTTCTGCTTTGGGTCCATGGGGTGAGACCCTTTCACCTTGGTTCGCGGGCGTGTGTCGGTCTGCGCGCATAACCCGACGCACGAGTTTTCGGTCTAGAATGTCTAGAGCTGGGAGCATGTCGTTCGGGAAGAGGCAATGCAGTGTCAACATGAGTGGCTTGAGAGTGGCGAGCTGGGCCGGCGAGAGGCCTGAGAAAGCTTGAGTCTGTTTCGCGATTTGAGTGCCAGAGTCCGTCTCGACTGAGGCTTCATATTGGGCTATTTCACTGATCAGACGGTCGATAAAGTCTGATGTGGGCGTGGAGGAATCCATGAAGTGCGAAATATATGTAATTGACAACTATGCTTGATATTCCTCGTCCTTCTCTCCCTGGTTCCCACCGGATAAACTGAGTGCTTCTGATAGCTCTGACTCCGAATTTGACACTGGTTCTTTACTCTTTCCCTTCCCTTTGCCCTTTCCAACTCTTGGGAATTTGGCCTTCGCTCTGCCTCCAGTCGCAGCCCTCTGTCTTTTCTGGCTCTTCGGCGGCTTCTTTGCTGCTTCCTTCTTTTCTGCCACTCTTTTGTCTTCTTCAATCTTGTTATGCACCAAACCTCTGACAAAGATATCTAATCTGTCTGGATCACCTTCTTTTTCGCCGCTTACAGTGATCCTGAGTGTCCCACGACCCCTATCGAAGTCCAATGGGTTTGGTATACCATCCGATCCATCGCCATCTGGTTCATCTGGCTCATCTGCTGCCTCTGTGCTCTTCTCCTTCGTTCCCTTTCCCTTTTCTGTTTCCTTCTCCTTCTCCTTTTCTTTCTCCTTCGCCTCCGAATCTTTGATCACCTTATAGATCGCTGGCACCATACTCTTCGCTATTGAAGCGACTAGTTCCTTCATACCTTGAGACTGCCCCGATCTATCATCAGCTGAGCCAGAAGAACCTTGATTGAAAGAAACCGCGACACTCCTCGCTGACTCTGTGATGGGTTCTTCAGAGGAATCTCTCATTGCCAAATCACTGTCCTTCTCGACAGCGTCGTCATAAGTGGGAAAACGGCGATAGCTAAAGATGTGGGCGTTCTGGCTGTATTCTTTGCTTTTGAGCTTACCAAAGTCAATGTCTGTGATTTTGGTATCATTCAAAAGCTTCCAGGTACCTCCACGACCCTTGACGGCGATGGTGTAGTGCCCACCACCGCCAGCCTCCGCTTCTTCGTGCAGAACCACGGCAGTCAATTCATATTTGATGGATTGGTTGGCTTTCTCTTTAGTCGCTGCGCGTTCATCAAAGTAAGTGCCCGATAGAGCGATCTTTTCCATTATTTTGATCTGATCATGGATCTTTTTACTTAGCATGTCGAGACGATTGACTGAGACGAGGAGAAGGTCCGGGGGATGCCCCAATCGTTCTGTCCAACTGGTGGGATTTCCGCATTCGCCGCATTTACCTCGAGTTTTGTCCTCTTTGGTAAACATCTTGTCCATCATTTGCATGATTGTTGTGGACTTTCCGGGCTTGTCTGGCCACTCGAGCCTCAAGAAGACCTCCTTTCTTGGTGTGAACCTGGGATTACATCCTTTGTCGCCTATGCATTGCTTCAGATCAAATATCTCCACCTTGAGCGCATTATCGATATCACATCGGCTGTCCACGTTTCGTTAGTCGCGACGCTAGGTACAAGTTTACCAGAAAAAGTACTTACAACATTGGCTTCGTGTCCTCAATGAGCTGCTCGACAATCTGCTCAAGGTACTCCCCAAGGTCTGATTGCTCATCCTCGGCGTCTTTTCTCCATTTTGCATATACCGAATCGGAGATCTTGTTGAGTGCAGCCTTCCAATCACCGGCGCCTGCGTCCCAGTAGGTAGCACAGAGTGTCTGGAATTGGCACACTTTGCATTCTTTGCCCTTTTCGCCGCGCTTGCAGGGTCGTTGAGGCGCATGGTGCTTCTTGTACCAGTTGAGCCAATTGCAAAGTACCGGCGCATGCAAAAGCAATTGAAGCGTTGCATTGCGGTAGCACTGAACCTGTGTGTTTGGAAATCCAACCTCTGTTGAATCTTCTACCTCTGGATCCCAGGCGGTAGGAATGCCTGACTAGGACAATGTTAGGAGTTGTCGCATTCGCCGAGGACAATAGTACTTACTCTCCAGCTTAAACTTTTCGGATTCTTGGGCACTTGTCTTGCCTTGGTCTTTTTTGTTGGAGCCGGGGCCGCAGCTGCCTCTGGAGCTGGAACTGGCGCTGGAGCTGCCGCCGCAGCTGCCGCGGCTGGAGTTCCTCGGGCTGATCGCGTCGATCGCTCTGAAGCATCACTTCCTGGAGCCATATGGAAGCGTACTATTCCCTGAAATAGTACACAAGTTTCGGGGATTACCTCCATCGAGGACTTTTTGCAGTTTGCATTTTATCTTCTAAGGAATTCCATATCAATTACTTTCATTGTTACATCTTTCTTTGCGAAGGAAGCATAATTTCTGGAGTGTTCTTTGATGCACAAGGGTATGGCTGTTCAGACCCAAGGATGCGGGTATCAGACACATCAGACAGTCCAAGAATCGAGTCCAACTAGTTTCTTTCAGTCCATTCAAGACATGCCTCCGCCTTCCTCTCCATACTGGACGACCTCGGACAGAACCAAGTCTGATCTATCCAACAAAGAAATGGCCAAGAGCATGTCCCTTTCAGATCTATAAATAACAACAATGGACTACTGCACCCCCTCGCCCTGAAAGATGCCCAAAGGAAGAGAAAAAGGAGTGCATGTCATGACAGGAGACGTATCAATCTTGGGCATCAAGTCCGAAACACAGATCATTTCAGGGGACGGGAACGTGGAGATGCAAATGTCAGCTCTCGACACCCTTACCCATGGACTCCCCTGTGATCAACATAGTCCAGACCTGTCACTTCCAGACGTTGGTTTGGGACGGAGTCCACCTCAAATGGTCTAGAAAAACGGGACGGGAGGAGGGGGAATAAAGAACCTCGGATACACTGGAATATAACTCTTCTACTCCAGGAACCGGTTCCTATACTAACGGTACCGTCTATATGAGTTGGACGGTCTAGAAGACCTCTCCCCCACAAGGCAAAGTGTTTCAGATGGCGTCGGTGGAGCCCACGAGCCCTTCATAAGCCAACTAGTCGCAAGCTATTGGTCCTGCAGCTTAAGATCCGGCCGAAAGCTAGTCAAGTCCGGCAGACGTTGACTCCTCCTTCTGAATCGGGCATCGTTCGATGTCTCTATTTCTCCCTCTTACCCACTTTTCGGCCTTTGAGAGAGAGACACGTACTATTGTTGACCAACCCCCCTTTCCCCCTTGACAGCAGCGTTCCTCAGATCCACTGCATATGATCTAAGTGGAACCGTAAATTCTCCGAGAGCCAGCGCCCAGTCCCGGGTAGGTTCATATTAGAGAGAGAGGAGGGGGGGGGGGGGGAGTAAATTAACTGCATGAAACGACAGGGAAATGAACCACGAGAGGTCCAATAGAAAAACCGGGTCCAACGGGTCTGTGTCGGACATTTAGGGCGATCGTGCAATAAATAGAGCAGAAAACCTCCGCTTCAGCGCCACCAGCTCTTCGGCCACTACCACTTAAGTCATAGTCGTGATGATCCAACGTTTGCCTCCCCATGTCAGCTCCACCGGGGAAGAGACGATTGGCTAGTCTATCTCCAACAACCCTGTCACTTGTACTGAGTAGGGCGAAGCTGTATCATCACATCGTGTGCCGCGTCTGACCATAGCCCTGACCGCCTCTCTATGATCGGCCTCGGTCAACACCCGGATCCGTTTGCGCGGAAGGGCGGATCATGAAGCTGAAGCCGACTTAGTCTGTGCTAGGGGGCTGGAGAGAGTAAAGATCGGCTGAACGTTGAGGGGATCCACTGGAGGAGAGAGAGAGAGAGAGAGAGAGAAGTGTAGGGGCAAGCTCTAAACGACGTGAATGAGGAAGCGGAAGAATAAAAAGGAGTGCTGATCCTCGCACTGACATGTTTCAGGCAACCGAACGGATCAGCAAAAGGGCGGAAATTAGCAAAGAAATTAGAGGGAAATCCGTGAGGGCAAGGGAAATTAAAGAACTCGTGTTCTCAACCCGGTTTTTCGGGTCCAACGGTCGACATGCTGAGAGTAACCCGAATTGCATTGTTTTCCATACTGACCCACCGCCCCGTCGTTCAGAGAGACCCTGGAACGGGTGATTCTAGACCAGACAGAGGACGCAGTCCTCGCTGTCTCGTTCTATGTTGATCCCCGACAGGATGGAATGGTCCGTCGTGGAGTAGAGGATGATCCGAGCATCGCTGTCAGAAATAATAGAATAAGGGAGTGGAACGACACGCAAGACCCCAGATCCTGGTCCAGGTCAAAAGCCGTTGAAATGAGATCTGGAACTTGGAGCCAGACCGGAGAAGACCGCCTCATTTTACTCAGGATGATGCGGGTCTCTCTGCGTATATAGGTATCAAGTGTTACAGTAATGTTTGATCGCACTTGCCCCTCCCCACTATCTACGTGAAATTGTAATATTACAACTGCTTGTTTTCCTTTTTAACCTTTTGACTTCTCTAGACTTCTCTTTTGGGTGGGTTTTTTGCTCTGTCGTCATTCTCCTTCCATCCTGCCTTCCATCTTGACGTCTATCATTCTATCTTCTATCTTCTCTCATTCTATCTTTCTATCTTCATCGCTGGCTTCATCCGCGCATATGATTGCGTTACAACATCAGCCTATCTCGCATCCTGCCAAAGTGGATATCTCACTACTACTCAAGCCCCAAGATGAGGAAGAAGCCGCCCCGGGCATCAACACCGGATTCCCGCCCAGAATCCCAGGGCCTCCGTTGAGCTCGATGGGTCCCATCATGACCATGCCAGGCCCGGCTGCTATGACCGCTATGCCTCCTCTCTCCAAGGCAGGCCCCTCAGGTGCCCCCAAACGTCTGCAACCGGCGCATACGGCCGAATCTCCAGCAAAGAAACAATCCAAATGGTCACCAGAAGAGGACGCCTTGATAATCGAGTTGCGAGGCAGTGGGATGAAATGGGAGGATATCAGCAAACGACTGCCCGGCCGCAGTGCGATCAGCTGTCGGCTTCATTATCAGAACTACCTGGAGCGCCGAAGTGAATGGGACGAGGACAAGAAGAACAAACTAGCTCGTCTATATGAGAGGTAGGTTGAGAGAGAGAGAGAGAGAGAGAGAGAGAGAGAGAGAGAAATCACATGAGCAATTCACTAATCTGTTGACCCATCTGAATAGATTCAAAGCCGAAATGTGGTCCAAGGTGGCCGAAGAAATGGCTATCCCATGGCGTGCTGCAGAGGCGATGCACTGGCAACTGGGAGAACAGGAAATGGCCCGCCGTGCGGGCGTCGTACCATTCTCCCTCTCCAGCGCAGCCATCGATCCCCCCACCACCAGAACACGTCGAGCCAGCACCTCTCTCTCACGACCCAGGAAAGGATCTTCCTCACGCGCAATCCCCGGTCAATTCCCCGGTCTCCCACCTCAGCTTCCCTCCCTGGAAGAGCTCACTGCAGGCGTTCCTGCATATGCACCTGCCCCCCCTTCAAGAGAGTTTTATGGACCTGGACGACCGTCTGAAATGGGCATTCCCCCACCAGGTCTGATCGGCCCTCACCTCGGCATGCCCCCTCGAACTCTGCCCTAAATCGACGACGATGACGCCTACACGTCTTTCCTTGATTTCTTTTTGATCTTTTTCTTTTTTTCTTCTTTCTTTTGTTTTGTTGGTCCTTTGTTACGAATTGCATAGCGCCGGCGGGAGGTATATCGTGATTTGAGGAGATAGTGAATCGTATAGATGATTTCTATCCCTCGGTGTTTGTTGAGGTGTTTTCTCTGTTTGCAGGATCTTTGGCGGGACCAGCAGTCCGAATGGATTTGTTTCTCCATGACTCCGAGGCTGGATTCTCGGAGTACATGCGTGCACCACGTTTTTTTTTTTTTTTTTTTGTTCATTTCAAACGTCAGCCGTCTTGGGCGTCGCGATCGCCCACCAATTGTCTTTCTCGTACCCCGCTTCCAGCACACGACCGCCGGCGTTATCGATGTCCCGCTCGAGCTCACCTTCCTCGTACAGGTGATAGTAGCGGTGGAAGGTCTGGGGCTGATCACCCTTGCGAACCCATGGAACCATTCGATCCTGTTCGTCACCCTTGTCCCAGCCTCTGCGGCTGTTCTTCTGTTCAAGGGCCCAGGCATAGATCAGGATCTTACCACCCTCATGCATCTCCGAACCAGGTTTGATGGTTCGCAGCATCTCAGCGACTGCCTGGATGCGCCGAGCCGGGGTGGAAAGATGGTGCACGACCGCGATCGAAATAGCAAAGTCAAAGCTTGCACCCCGATGGGGGAGGTCGAGAATATCGGCCACCACAGTCGAATGCGGCTGGTGCTGAAGGGCTATCCGAGCCAGGTTTTCAGATCTGCCATTGGGTCAATCAAAAGCCATGCAGTACGAAGAAAGCAAAAAGGAAACCCCATCCCCCAAGAGGGGTAAACCAATATCCTGAAAAATTATAGTAAAAAAAAATCCAAACTTTTATCACGTACCTATCCGAAGCAACGATAAAGACGTCGCGATTGACCATTAAGTTTTTGCCATTACCACATCCTACATCTAGTCCCACCGAGCCGGGTGCCAGATCCTGTAGGAATCGTTCGACTATAGGCCATGGCTGGGAAGCGGTTAGTTTGATGTGCTGTTGCAGCCAGTCGCTTAGACACACCTTGTACCGGGTAGCAGAAAAATGCTGGGCAATCTGCTGATATACCTCATGCACATTCTTTTGTTCATAGGCTGCATCTACCTGTGGGGTCGCCATGGTGTTTGGGATTGGAAGAGGTGAGGAATCGAAAAGTGAAGCGAGAATGATATCACGTGGCCTCAGACATGCGGCGGGCAAAAACATCCAATGTTGTCAACGTATAAGAAGCCTTGGTGTATCCTGCACTAGATTATGTCAATAGCATAGATAGGTATAACTCTCCCTACTAGAAAATAAAAGGGGGAGCTTGAATTACTGACGAATACAAACCTACATCTTACGTGAAGTCATCTTTCCCTAAGAACCTGGGGCAATTGAATGAGTACCCGAATCAGCACCTCAAAGGGGTTCTCGTGCCTTGACCTACGTGGGATCTGAGTGTTTGGGCATTTCATTGTCGACTGAGTCAAGCGCTGCCTGTTCCTGGCCAGCTGACTAATATTGTCTCCGTCTAGGAGATATTCCTTCTTCGGTCGACCACAGAAAACACAACAAATGTAAGTAGCACCTGCTCACTTGAAAGGCCGGTTCTGCATGGAGGCCTTGGAAGACTGTATCAATGCAACATATGTATCCTCTTCAGTTGCACGCGGCAGCTTATCATGGCCCCTTCAGGGGATTTTGATATTGCTATGCAGCCCGCAATGACATTGGATAATGGCTCCATGTGTGACAGAAGACAGTATCCGTGGGATTCTGTTTACAGAGCTCCTCAATTGCCTTCAGCTTTCACATGGAGATCCCGGACTCATGGATGACAACCAATGCTAACGGTTTTCTAGAAAACCGAGAACCAAAAAAAAAAAAAAAAAAAAGAAAAGCAAGAGACATCATGGCTTTTCAGCCTACCCCGACGGATGTCTCCGTCATCATCACCAATGCTGCATCAGGCAAAGCTAATGATGCAGAGCCCAGGTTCTTGACCGAACGCCGTATCACTCCTACCTGGACCGTGATACAGGTCAAGTCAAAGCTGGAGACCATGACTGGCATCCCACCCGGAAGCCAGCGTATTCGAGTCAAGACTCCCGGCCGACCTGATCAATGGGCCGATGGAGATGACCGCCTGATCGGGGAATGGGGATTGGTGAAGGGATCGGAATTCGAGGTTGGTTTGCTCTCCTACCCATCTCTGCTGACATCTAAAGGGAATGGTCTCTCAATTTGACTCAAATCAAAGAGCTATTGTTGAGAAGACACCAGATAAAAGACCTTATGCTGAACAGCCTCAGATCCATGATAGTCGTCCGCAAACCATGCGGGCCAATTTCACCGACCTGTCATCGGTCGACAAATACGTACTGCCAACTGAAACATACGAGGCTCGCTCAGACTCCGTATTGGCCTGGAAGAAGAACCAGAAGCTAGGCCGCTTTGATCCTAACGCTCTATCACCAGAGGAGGCTCTGCGTCATCAAGTCGAGAAGGATGAAGCCGAGGTCTCCACACGAGGTTCGTTGGAAACATGTGAAATATCCCTTTTGTGATTCATCTAACCGTGTCTGCTAGGAATTGCCGTTGGTAACCGGACAATTGTGCTGCCTTCCACTCCGCCGCATATCCGACGGGGCACTATTCGGTTCGTTGGACCTGTTCCCACTATCCCCATTACCGGCCCGGGTCGCGAGTTGCAACAGAGTGGAGAGCTTCCGGCGGATCTTCAGCCTATCTGGGTTGGAATTGAACTTGACGAGCCCATGGGGAAGAACGATGGTAGTGTGGGTGGACGGCGCTACTTTGAGTGTCTAGGCAATCGGGGTGTTTTTGTCAAGCCTGAAAAGGTTGAAGTGGGAGAGTTCCCTCCGTTAGGCCTTGAGGATGAACTGGATGAGCTCATGGAGGAGATATGATAAACATTGAGCTATCTCATTGTGTAATTGAACAAAGGACTTGTGATGTCCGCTGATAAAACGAATACATCAAGTAGATAACAATTGGCGCCCCAGGCTGCCTCACTTGTTCTCCCACCACGGATTATCACCAACACAAGAGACACTGCATAATTAACAGCACACCCAGGCGAGAAACGCCGAAACCCCCAAGGTAATCGTATGAAACAAATCGCTGAAGAACGAATAAGAATGACAAAAGACATAGTTGGACACTACAAGAAACATTTTTGGGGTATCCATTCACGTAATCGAGGAGAGCATCATGGCGGGCTAGTCTTTTTCTGCTTGCCCCTAGGGCGTCCCTTACCCTTTTTGACAGGAGGAGAAGCAGGAGCAGCAGATGCGGATTCAGCCTCGTTCTCGCTCTCAGTACCAGCTTCAGGAGTGGGAGGCTTGTTGTTCTTCTTGCCCCTGGGACGTCCTTTGGCCCTCTTAACAGGGGGAGAAGTAGGAGCTGCGGATGCGGATTCAGCTTCATTCTCGCTCTCACTGCCAGCCTCGGCAGTTGGAGGCTTGTCGTTTTTCTTGCTTCGAGGGCGTCCTTTGGCCTTCTTAACAGAGCGAGAAGCAGGAGCAGCTGATGCTGTCTCAGTCTCATTCTCGCTCTCGGTACCAACTTCTGGAGTAGTGGGCTGCGTGTCGTTCTCGTCTTCCTCCTCGGGGAGCTGTCCCTGGGTGAAGAACAGTCGTACTTCTTTGCTGTGGATATTTGCAAAGCTATAATAGTTGCCTGGGAAAAAGAGATATCGGATTAATAAGACTTATAGCCAAGAAGTTCAGGGAACACAAGACTTACCACGAGGAACTTGGAAAACGCAGCCCTTGCCAGCACTGAACTGGATCCCTGAAATGTCTACTTGTACGCGTCCGTGACATACGTAGAATACCATGTGCATCCTCTTCGAGTTTTTCGGTTTCTTCACCCCTTTAGGTGGAAGCTCCACGACCCCAGAACCAATGAACGTTCCACTGAGAAGTTTTGCAAATCGAAATGATGAGCCTTTGACCTCTCGTGTTTCGATACCAGAAGGAGCATATGCAACGTCTGTCTCGAGTCAGCGAATGAACTACACGGGTTGAATTAGCAGTCTTACCCAAAACTTCCTCTTCCTTTGACACAGCCTGCGTTTTTGGGTCCCACATTTGGACATAGCCATGAAGAACACCACCTTCTTGTTCCCATAGATCAGCATCCTCATCTTCTTCATCAGAGGAGTCGTTCATTGACTTCTTCGACTTGGATTTTCGACCGCGCTTAGATCTCTGTTTCCTTTCAGGCTCTTGCTCTTCGGTGCGAATGACTTCTTTGATGGTTGAAAGGGGATAGCGATGTCCCTCTGCAACCTCGCCATCACCAAAGACACAACGTTCATTGCGCCAGTACGCCAGAGGACGAACAGAAACCCGCCCGGATCGAGTATGCGTTGCACTGGTATCCTCAGGGTTTTCGCGCTTGAGAATGTATAAACTCCGGCCCTTCAAAGGACCAGTACGGTTGGCGTAATTGTCCACCACGCGATCTAGTTCTGGCTCCAACGGTTCGCGCGCAACCGGTGCCACTTTGGCGGTCATTCGTTTCTTGGTTGGTCTGCTGTCGGCATCTCCATCATTGTCGCGGCGCTGAGATTTCGGAGGACGTCCGCGGGGTTTGGCTGGAGGTTTATCTGTTTTGGCGGTCTTTGCAGGGCCCTTATTCGCCTTTGAGATTGTAGTCTCGTTTGTTCTGGGTGGAGTCGTGTCAGTCATAGAAGCGTCTTCATGTCCATTCTGGGTATGTTCCAGAAGATCCGTAAACTCCTCTGCATCAGCCCGAGAATCGTCCAAGTCACCAGACTCTTGCTGTAAGCGGGCAGCAGCACCTGAGTTCTCGTCGTTCTCGTCGCCCTCGCCATCAGAAAAGTCAGGTAGCACCGAAGGTTCGGACTCTGCAGCCAATTGAGCTTTTGTCTTCCATGTGCCATTCTTCTGGTTGAATCGTCCCGCATTTACGGAGCGTGTTGATAGAGGAGAGGGATCCGGGGGCGAGTTTTCCTGCTCACCAGCTGAGCCATTGTCATCATACGGACTTGAGGACTCGTGAATATCCTGCAGCTCCGGGGTTGATCGGAATACTGGCCCTCTGGGGGGCCCATTGAGGCCAGATTTCATTGGCGACCGCGCAGCGGACGGGGAAAGAAAAGAGGTTCGTGGGCCATTGGCACTCTTGAGGAAGTCCATGGGATCCGGCGCATTGCCTGGAAAGTTGAACCAGATGATCAGCATGCGTGAAACAAAAACCTTCGGGGAAAAGCACCAGTGGCGCACCTTCATCCATTGACATTTCATCAGAACCAGTTGAGGATGCATTCTCCTCAAACGCAGGGAGTGCAGCTGGCGACTTCTCGGGTGAAGAGAAGAGGCCGTCCACTTCTTCCATTCCATGCTCATCGCGTCGCCCCTCTTTGAGAGAGATACCGGTGCGTCTAAGAATACCGATCGCATTAGATCTCGGAGTCACATACACTTGCTTTGAACTTCACAGTAACATGTCTTACCTTCCCGTCGTTCCCACGTTGGAGTAATCGAAGTCGCGGGCCTTTCCGGGCCCTCGTGCCATATTGGAGGTTGAGCGCCAGGCAGTGAAAGTTGGAGAACTCAATAACGTAGCGCTTTTCGCATCAAAGGAACTCGCACCGGATTATATCCAAAAAAAAGTGAAACAGTGCAGCGAGAAGCAAAGGTGGAGGGGAGGAATGATGCGACGGAATTTGGACGGGAGAAACACGCGCCCGCCCGCTAATCCCGAAAAGTCGACGCGTTGCATACTTGAGCTATCTTCCCTTAAACCCCATTCCAGCTTGGACTTCAAAATCTTCATATTTACACAATGACCAAAGACACCTCTTCCGCCAATGCACAGGAATCATCCACTTTCATCCCCCCCAGTGTGATCCCCGAACGGCTGTTCTCCGGTGATTCCTACGCGTACTACACTCCATGTCCCGACGCAATCACGCCTCAAAATGTCTCTCCTACAGCCAACGATACAGTCAAAAGTACACCCTGCGTTCTGGGGGTTGACGAGGCCGGGCGTGGCCCGGTTCTAGGACCAATGGTCTACGGTGCCTTCTACCTTCCTCTCGAGCTCCACCACTCGCTTTTGACCGAACAGCATAGCTTTGACGACAGCAAAGTGTTGACCCCTGCGGTACGTGCCAATCTGATGCAGCTTTTGAACACACCAGGAGACTCCCTGTTTGAGTCTTGTGGGTATGCAATCAAGGTACTTTCGGCGCGCGACATCTCTTCCGGCATGATGAGATCACCCACAGCAGTGTACAACCTGAACGCCCAGGCGATGGATGCAACGGTGGAGATCATTCGAGGTGTTGTTCAAGACCGTGGAATTGATGTGCGAGAGGTTTACATTGACACCATTGGCAACCCGGCCACATACCAGCAAAAACTGGAGCGAATATTCCCATCTTTGAAGATCACTGTCGCAAAGAAGGCAGACTCACTGTATCCCTGTGTCAGCGCTGCCAGTGTGGCAGCCAAAGTGACGCGTGATGTTGCGCTGGAGATTATGTACGAAGACATTCTCAAAGCTCAGCAATTGTCTGGCCCAGCCCCTGAGACTTGGGGAAGCGGGTATCCCTCGGATTCAAAGTGTGTTGGCTGGCTTCGACGCAACATGGACCCTATATTCGGATGGGGCAATGAATGTCGATTCAGCTGGGGTACTGCGAAGGAAATGCTCGAACTGAAAGGTGGAGCAAGGGTTGACTGGCCTGCCGACGAGGAGGACGGCGCTTCGAGACTCAGTGAGTTCTTAGTATCGTCTGGTCCGGGGAAAAGCACAACTCGAGATGGATTACGAGACTGGTACGGGCAGAGGCCAACAGAGATACTATAATTGTCACCCCGGTAGAGATTCATGGGAATGCATGGAATTAGATATGACTTAATATAACATTGATGATACCCTACAAACCTGCTTGCACACAGCAAAGCAAGAGTGATAACAAATGAAAAATGGACCGACAGGTCCTACTACGAGTATTATTAAGAAAGATCATGCAAAAAGAAAAAGAAAAAGGAAGGGTATCATAGGCGAAATGGAATCCGGACAAGTCTCAAGGAATCACAGTGTAGCAGTCGAAAAATAATAATTCTCCCAGAGGTACTCATAGTCCTCCACGATACTGCCCACCATGTCTAACAATGGCTTGCCCTTCATCTTGCCTGTCACGCTGTGAAGCCAGGCCCTGGTTCACATGTTAGTCTTTGATCGGGAAATTCAAGTCTCAGCCCGGAGGTTCTTACTTAGTAATGTTCTCGTAGAATGCACCTCGCAACAGCCACCAGCCCATTGACCATCCACGCTTCTTCAGCTCTTCCCGCTCAAGGCCCGTGAGTCCTCTGAGACCACCAGCGACCCTTTCACGGAAGTCACGCTTGGCAAGCTGCCGACAGCCATATTCCATTCCAAATCCAATGAGCCATGGTCGCCAACTGCGCTTATCCTTGCGCCATTTCTGCATCGCCAATGCGTACACAATGGGCCGGAGGATGTATAGCACTTCAGCTAGTTGTCCTTGTCCCGTCGCACGGTGAAGAAGTGCCTTTGGGGGCTTGATATCATCCGCTGTGAGCACCTTTGAGATAAGATAGTTTGACACATCGTTGACATTAGGGAGAGATGGCAGGGATAGCCCCGTGCGTGGCATCGTCCAGTTCAAATCTGAAGATCGTTCGCTCACGGGAGTGTCCATACCATTCCAGTCCTCCTTCTGGTCGCCCTCTTCCGCTGTTCTTGGGTCCACTTCGCGCTCCGGAAGTGGTGGGCTGACAAGAGGTCTGGAATTGGTCAGCCGGAGTAGGAGCAGGCGGCAGACTGCCTTAGCGAATTCAATGAAGACCACTACTCGCCAGCGAGTCTTCTGGCCCCGTCGCCGTGCTGTCATTTCCCAAAGAAGCTCCGTATACTGGAGCATCTGCAGCGCAAGCGCTACCTGACGATATAACGAGGAACGAGAGGTCCAATATTTGGTATACCGGGAATGAGGTGTAGGTTGCGGCCGAGGAACAGTCGGAGGAAGCCGATCAATTACACGCGAAACAAGAGAATCATGGTATAGCGACAATAACTGGACACCAGAATGCACTGCAGGGGCCTGTCAGCATATGCTCGACAACGGGCACGTTTTTACACTAACCACATTCTGAAGGTATCTCTGATTCACGATACCGCCCTAGAAGATCGGGTGGGTTAGTAAATTTCCTAGAGTCTCAAGCACCAGGATGAGGAAGCTCACCTGGAATGATGTATGTCAAGGATCGCAGCGCAGACTCGACTTGACCAACCGAGCTGGCATTCTTGGTCACGAAGTCTTCATAGAGGGACAGCCATTTAGATGGTTTCAGAAGTGCTGGTGGTATTGGATTCTGGATGTTGCGAACGGTCTCCATCTTGAAAGCCAAAGCATGTCAAGATAAGTGAAGTGACGGGTGAGCGAGATCCGGGGGAGAGAGGTCATAGGCACGTGGTCCCGCGTTTGCCAAGAATGGCTGGGCCGAGGTTGATGCGTTCGGACTTATACTTCCCACTCTATACTGTAATAGCCATTTGAGAAATGCACAATTGGTGATTATTGATATATGTTCGCATATTTCATTCATGTATAAGTGTATTGTTAGAATCATAGTGTATCATTCGTCAGCCCATGTCCATAACCCGCCAGGGCGCATGGCCTCTCGGTATCGCTCCTCCACTTTTTCTCGCTCCAGTCTTTCAGCAGCTTCACGGTCAGACTGCTCATCTTGTGTATCTGGCATTTCTGTTCGCCAGAATCCAGGGGGCGATTGGGCTCGCTGGTGAGTATGTCGATGTCGTCCATACTGGTTGGCCAAAGCCCTAGCTTGCGCCTCCACCAAAAGATTCTCACGGTCTTGACCCTTCAGTGTCTGGATTAATCGCGAATCCTCTCCTAGGTATTCCTGTAGTATTATCTGATCTTCCTCTTCTTGTTTGGCTCCAGATCTGCCAGAAAGGCCCCCCAGGCGAGCCATGGCCCGGAATCGATCCCCACAGCATCCCGGGCGAGTGCAGCCTGATATACATTTACGATCATCTTTTTTGCGAACCACGGCATCGTATGCAAAGTCAAGTCCTTGATTTCTTGCAGGGTTGATTTTGAAATGCTCCAGCCCCAGACATCGAAGAGGCCTGGCTCTGTAAGGCTCATCGTCAGGATCTATGTCGGGGGTAGTTTGACTTGGATATGTTGGCATCAGATCAGCTTGCGGTGCACTATCTTCCGTTGTTATCAAGCCCGCAGCCTTTTTCAAAGCGCTGAGTGGTGGTCTGGTGGGCGCCGATTGTTCCAACAGATTTTCTAGGCGTCTCTGGGCAGGCTTGTCACAGGCATTCTTCTTTGATGGCTTAGGGGTTATGTGAGAGGCAACATCTTCCCCGTCTTCTGCCAAAGATGGTATTGCGCGTCTCTCCAGATCTTTGCCACGTTTCGAATAATGCCTTTCATCGGTATCTACCTCGGTGCGTGTGTTTCCATCGATAGGCTGAAGCACTGAGTGCTGTGATGTCTGTTGATCTTCTGGGACATGTTTGGAGTGGGGTGCATGGCTTATGCTGCTGTTTGAGTTTCCAGGGTTCCTAGCATTGGCATCCCTATAGGCTTTTCGCTTCATAGGTGTTCGTATTGTGTCACCTATTTCGTCAAGGTCTTGTGTGCCTGCAGGTGGTAATTCGTGATTATAGGTGGAGGGTTGGATTGGACTGGAAGACATTATCTCCTTTTTAACAATTACGGGCCGCACTGAACCCGTCTCAGCCCACTGGTGATTGGGCATTAGATGCTCGCTGGGCGGCGCTGGTAGAAGCCTCTGGCATTTTGGCTGGCGCTGCACACCGGGTGAAGCCCATGCTGCATTGGACAGCTGGCCTGAGCGATCCACATCTGGTGCAGGGGAGCTAGATTGTGTGGAGGCTGGTTGTGATGGCCGGTTGAAGGTTGCCGTTTTGTTATGGTTCAGTTTGGCAGCTTCCTCGGGGCTGTTTGCACGTTTGTGGGTTGACGATAACTTGAGAGCTTTTGATGGGGGACCTGAGCTCTTTTCTCGTGGACGTTTAGTTGCTAGGCTTTGGGTCGCTGGGGGTGGTGCTTTGTCAACCTTGTCCATGGTGGTACCTTGGACTCTGCGAAAAGTGACTGGTTCGGCATTGAGAACGATCGTGAATTCTTCATGTTCTAATTGTCTATCCCACCGCCGTAATTTCTTCTTGTGTTGCAAAACCTTAGATTTGAGGCCGCTCCAAGTCTGAATGAATGTCTGTAGATTGGTATAAAGTGCCGTGTATTTGGCCTCGACCCGGTTTCGTGAGGTCTGAATATCGGAAGGATCATCATCTTCCATGCAATTTCCCCATAGATTCTTGGGGTCGAACTCGGTTTCCAGATTTGCGTATCTTCCGGGAAGCTCTAGATCGTACGGATCAACTTCGTACTGCCGAAGCTCATTTTGAAGATCATGAACCTTTTGCCGAAGCTCTTGGATTTTGGCCTCTGCTTGTCGCTGAGCTTGACTGGCCCGTGATTCTTTGATTTCTGCCGCATTGGTGTGAGCGTCAACCCGCGATTTCATGCGCCTGTAAGCCTCGTCAAAAGAAGCTTCACAGGCATTTGCCACAGCGGCATGAAGCTCCTGGACAATCTCCATTGTGATAGAGAAAGTGTCAAGAGAGCGCGAGAGAGACGCGACGCGTTACGGGCCACGTGAGCTTATCGATAAGAAGCCCTCTACCTTCGTCGTCACGACTGTCGATGATCTCGTCTCACAGAATGTTGAAACGGCGCAGAGGCCAGGATTCTGGTCAGCCACACAAGCGTCTTCGTACTCGCGATGCTGGTTCTTTGGATCGCCTATCCCGCTTGAGTAATGAGCTGCTACTTCATATCTTTTCATTCCTGCCGGTTTCGTCTCTGAATGTGTGCCAAAGGTAATACATCCGCTATTGATTTATCTAATTATTGGCACTGACTTGACTTTGCTAAGGCTATCCCATCGGTTCCATGCTCTTGGAGGTGACTCCGAACTATGGAAAAGGCAGTATTATTCAGAATGGGTGCGACCCCGTGCCCGCCGGCTAGCAAATGTCAGACGTTCCACACTCTCAGCTAAAACAGACTACTCGCCGAAAGTCGCAACATGGTTTGACCATGGTCACTTGGCACAGGAGGCCAAAACCAATTGGAAAGGCCAATACCGGCTTCGGCATAATTGGTCCAGAGGACTATGCCGGTTTACTGAGGTCGAGTTTCCTCAGCCGCCATGTCCTCCAAATCTAGTCAGATTTTGTGCTGGTTTTGTATTCACGGTAGACTCGGCGTACGGGCTCCGGGCTTGGACTGCAAGAGACCCGGCATCTTGTCTGGCAACGATCTCATTGACGGCACATTGCGAAGCACCACCCGTGGTTCCAACGGCTCTGGCGGTAAGTCGGGTTGAAGACGAGATCAAGATCTCAGTAGGATTGGACAATGGCTATTTTAGCCTCTTCGTCTTGAACCTTGGAAAATCCGACCTGCGCTTTCAATCCTCTCATGTGGGTTGCAGCAATGGTGCCATAACGGCAATGGCGTTGTCATCACCGTACTTGTTGATGGTGTCTCAGCATAAAGACTTGACTCTGTACAATCTGCGTCGCGGAAGCCAGCAGACAGGTAAAACTGGAGATATCCAAGAACCACGCCAACTCGCCTCCCTCAGAGCGGAAAATATCGTTGCGCCAATGACCCTATCTCTTCGAGTCTCAACCTCTGATATTGTCGCGACGGTTGTGTATAGCTTCTTCCATATTGGGTGTGGGTGGTCGCTGGGGATTCAAGAACTGCGCTTGGGCAAGGATGGCCAACAACTTGACTCACGACTAGCCACTACGGTGGATTCACAGTATGGATTAAGACCACCGCAAAGTCTACCACAATCCCAAAAAAGACGACACTCAACGACTCGACCAGTCCACAGTCAAGGCCTCGCCTCTGGAACACCGACTATCCTACACCAAAAACCTCCAACCTCTATGTCTTATTCTCACCCATATCTGCTGACCTCTCATGCGGACAACACATTGACTATGTATCTTGTGGTATCTACGTCCGACAATTTGTTTGTTCAAGGTGGCCGGCGCCTTTGGGGCCACACTTCTTCTGTGTCCGCTGTTCAAGTGACGAATCGTGGCAAAGCTGTTTCTGTGAGCGCCCGAGGTGACGAAATTCGAATCTGGGAGTTGGAGATGGCGATATCTACACTGGGCAGCCGCAAATACTTCAAAGAAGAGAATGGGGTCCAGCTCAGCCCCGAAAACAAACAGAATGGAGACTCAGAGGCTGCCCCTGTCCATCATCACTTGGGCAGTGTAAATCATACCCAAGGATTATTGCAAGGTTGTGTTGGGTTTGACGAGGAGCGAGTACTGTTGCTCAGAGAAAAGACGGGAACACAGCTCCTTGGATGTTATGACTTCACATGAACTAATTCCACAGTTATGGAAAAGGCAGGCCAACTCCACAGAAGCAAACATTCTGACTCGTGATTTGACGATCGCAATGCGGCCAATAAACCCCGGGTTCAAGGATCCGGTCGTAGCACAAGGTACTCAGCCCGGACTGAGGACCCTGGCAGGGTGGCAGTTGAGGTATAAAAGTCTCCATTGCCCTAAAAAATGGGCCATAATATTCTTGAAATTCTCTCGACTCCCCGTACATCCGTACATGCAGAGCAAAGACAAGGAACACTCCAGATGTGTGAAAATATGAAGGTTCACGAGAAAATGAAGACAAGAAGGATGAAGAAATGAAGAGAGATCAAAGAAGATCAAAGATCCAAGTCTAAAGCGCAAAACTTCTATACTTCCCATCGCCAGATGAAAAGTGGTCGGGCGGTCAAGCGAGTAAGCTCGCGGGAAGATTTCTCCCCGCACTACAATTTTCAAGACTCAATTTTTTTTGACTTCTTCACTCTACACTTCTTTTCCAATATTCTTACTCAAAATGGATTTCCCTACCGGACGTGGCGGCTGCTTCAACTGTAAGTCACTCCCCCCAATTTCTCTGCTCTGAGCTTGATGCTTTTTCCCGGACCTGGAATTTCTTCTATGCTTGGCCATTCGTACTGACTACTGTTCTCACAGGCGGCGAGGCCTCTCACCAGGTAATTACCACCTTTGTTTGAACTTCTACATCGTTTAGATGATTCAATGCGAGAGAAGGAAAAAAGAGACATGAAGCTTATATGATCATTCTAGGCCAAGGACTGCCCCAAGAAGGGTAACCCCACCTGGTAATTCCTCTTTTTCCCAGGTTGATATAGTTTACAAGCTGATCCATGTCTCTTATAGCTACAACTGCGGCGGTATGCTTTATCCCTCAGCTACTGTCCATGATTAGATATCTGGACCGGTTGGAACATTGCTAATCAGATCACTTTCCATTTCAGGCCAGGGTCACTTGAGTAAGTTGACAGGCTTCTCCCATCTCCGGACTTCACTGACACATCAAAGGCCGTGAATGCCAGGAACCCGCTAAGGAGAAGTCGTGCTACCGCTGCGGTCAGACCGGTCACCTTTCCCGCGAATGCCCCCAGGGCGGCGACAGCAACTACGGCGGCGGCGGCAGCCAGGAGTGCTACAAGTGTGGACAGGTCGGCCACATCGCTCGTCACTGCCCCCAGGGTGGTAACTACGGCAGCGGCGGCTACGGTGGCGGCTACGGTGGTGGTTTCGGCGGTGCCGGTGGCCGCCAGCAGACCTGCTACTCGTGCGGTGGCTTCGGCCACATGGCTCGCGACTGCACCCAGGGCCAGAAGTGCTACAACTGTTAGTGATCCTTCCGTTTGGGTCTGAGAATCTACTAACCTTATGTTCAGGCGGCGAGGTTGGCCACGTTTCCCGTGACTGCCCTACTGAGGCCAAGGGTGAGCGCATGTGCTACAAGTGCAAGCAGCCCGGCCACGTGCAGTCCGCTTGCCCTAACTAAGGCCTTGGATTGCTGTTTCGGTCGACATCTTTCTACAATTTCTACGGGATCGGATGACATTTATCTTGCATGCACGAAACGAATTTCTCTTTTTTTCCCTGAAAATGTATGATTAGAGATCAACGTCTGGCAGGTTGACATGATCTACCTTATGATGCTTCCCGAGTTTGATTTCCGCGGGTCTTTTGATAACGCGCACAAAATGTGAAGCAGGAAACCCTGCAACTTCTCGTATTTACCCCTTGTGCTTATTGGGCTCATCTCGTAGGCCGAAACAAATGTCAACCTCTATTTTGGTTTTAACGAAAGTAGTATGTTACACTTGGTATCTAGATGTGCGTTGCGTACCACGCATAGCTCGACTACGAGCTGCAGCTACATAGCATAGCCCTCTTATACTTAGGAACGTCCCCACAGAAGCGTTGTTCCTCTTCCTTGTCGAGGCCCCATTCCTCATTGAAGGGATTCAGAGACATTTGCATGATCCTCTCCAGAATCTCTCGGTCTCCTTTGCGTTCAACGCGCTCAATGACCTCATCAAGAATCCACCCTCGAGGCACAAACTAGATCGGAGAAGGGTCAGTCATCCTTCACCAAAAGACAAAGAGGAATAAATTTCAACGAGCTCTTACATTTGGATTGACGGATTTCATCGCCTTTTGCCTTTCCTCGTCATTTTCGGCGCCCCAATCCTCAAGGACACGGGCTCGCCAGCCATCAAGCCATTGCGCAATGCGAGCTCTGGCTGTGTCATCAGTGTAGCCAATTCCACCGAAGCCTTCATTGTGGAAAAATATCGAGGCTGTTGCCTTTCGGCTTTCTTCGGTTTCCAACTTGGACAGCGACAGCCCAGAAAGCCGACGGAAGAAGTGGTTGAAATCCAGCTCGAGGGCCTCAAGTGTGTCTAGCATCTCCGAAAAGAGGTTCTGGAAGTCAGACTCGACTTGCGTCTTCAGTCCTAGCCTCTGGCACATCAACCGCTTGTATTCGTTCAGGAACACTGCCCTGAACTCCTCACCCGTGCGGTCAATGATATTCTCTGCACGTTTGACGATTTCTGGTTCAAAGTCTTCCGACACACCATCTTTCACAAAGCTTTCTTCGTCGACTCGGTTTCCAGCTCCAATGAGTTCTCCCAGTGACTCCCCAAGTCGAACCAAATTCCACCAAATAATGCTGGGCTGGTTTCGATAGGCATAACGCAACATGTGGTCATCATGGTTTGGGGTGTATTGGGGGTCGAAGTTGTCCATGAACGCGAATGGGCCATAGTCAAGCGATAAGCCGTAGATAGATGTGTTATCCGTGTTGAGCACGCCGTTCATGAATCCATAGGCCTGCCACGCAGCTACCGTCTTCGCGTTGCGTCGAGAAATTTCTCGATAGAGCCTCGCAAACCGATTCTCTTGTACGTCCTGGTGGTCTTGGACCTCGTCCCTGGAGATTCCCCTTGGAGGATTGTCCATCTCCGTGGGAGATTGATGTTCACGTACTGACACAATGGCAGGAAGGGATTCCCACCCACCAAATACGTCCTCGGCAACATATGTTGCGAGTTTCTTGATGAGCTTACGGTCTCCGCGAACGCGAAGAAGATCGAAAGTGCCGATTCTCAACCAACTCTCGGCAAACCGCGCAACGATTGCTCCGGGCTCCAGACGCTCACGCAACACCTTGGCATTCGGTACTGAGGTGAGTGACAGTGCACGAGTTGTCGGTATACCAAGAGCAGACAAAGCTAGAGAGTCGTCAGTGGATTGCACTCAAATTCAGGCGAGATCATAGATACCTTCCGAGACCACGTATTCACGGATACTCGATCGGAGAACAGCTTTTCCATCGGCGAAACGCGAATAGGGTGTTCTACCTGCGCCTTTCAATTGAAGCTCATATCGCATATTGGTATGTGGGTTAGTGCACTCGAAGAGGCTGATCGCACGCTAATATACATACCGTTTAAGTTAGCGATACGGAGTAAAGGATGCATCACATGCAGGTCAACTTACCCCGTCTCCAAGCTGTCCAGCCCACGAACCGCTAGCTAATGTCAGTTTTAGCAGACCAAAGTGAATCTCTAGCTGTGGCTTACAATTGCCACCCTGGACATGTTAGTTCATACATTCAATGATCAGAATACGGATACATACCTCCATAGCACTGCGCCCAAGGGTAAACCCCGCCCTTCTCCTCATCCCACCAAATTTCGTTTCCTGCGACCAGGGCTTTGAACTGTGTCGTTTGATCTTCACCGGGCTTTAGCCCCAAGTCCTTCAACGCCTTGGGACTAACACCCAGAAGTTCTGGTGCATCTGTCGGCTCCGGGCGGACAAAAGTAAACAGTGCTCCTTTGACCATCCGGGGGCCAAGGGACTCTCTCGGGGCCTTGTGTGAGATTTCTGGAGTCTCAAAAGCAGGATCAGGGGGCAATTTAGATGTGAAATTGTTTGACTTTGGCAGCTCAACCAGGGAGACCCCAACGCCACTAGAGAAATGGGATGCCATTTGGCCCAAACGATTTCGAACTGGAGATCTAAGGTTAGGCAGCATACGATTGAAGCACACGACACGGTACATGAAGAAAGTTGAGCAAGTCGAGAAGATGGCTAGGAGCTGACTTGACTGTTTAAGTGAAATGACATAATGTTGGCAATTATTAATCGCGTTCCCGAGGCAAACCCGCCTATTTTCCATTCCCATCTGCATCTACATATATTCTTTCGATATTTGTTCATCATGGCAGGCACTATTGATACTATTCCTACATTGGAGCTCAATGATGGTACCTCGGTACCCGTCGTAAGCGTCTTGCCCTCCTCGCAGGAATGTTACTGATCATTCCAGCTTGGATATGGCACTGGCACCGCATGGTATAAGAAGTCGGGGGACAGTGGTATCAATCGTGACTTGGTCGATTCAATCAAGGCGGCAACCAAGCTAGGGTATCATAACCTCGACGGAGCTGAAGTCTACCAGACCGAGGAGGAACTCGGACTGGCAATCAAAGAGAGTGGGGTCCCGCGAGAGAAACTCATCGTGACGACCAAAGTCATTACCAACATTGCCGATATTCCACGGGCTATTGACACCAGTTTACAAAAGCTCCAGCTTGATTATGTGGATCTGTCAGTCAAGCTCGATGAAGACAAGGGACCCGAATTGACGATTGTTTTAGGTACTTAATCCATGAGCCATTCTTTGCTACTACCGAGGCCCAACTTCAGGCTGCCTGGGCTGCTATGGAACAAGTCAGGGAATCTGGAAAGGCCCGCTCCATTGGTGTATCGAACTTCCTGCAGAGCCATCTGGAAACCATCCTGAAGACTGCCAAAACTGTGCCATTGGTGAACCAGATTGAGTTCCACCCCTACCTCCAGCATGGCAACCTGGTTTCTTTCCATGAGAGCAAAGGTATCAAGACTATCAGTTATTCTGGCCTGACACCGATTACTCGTGCTAAGGGCGGCCCCCTGGACCCTCTTCTTACCTCCTTGGCCATTAAGTACGCCGTCAGCGAGGCAGAAGTCTTGCTTCGCTGGACTATTGACCGTGGCTGTATAGCTATTACAACCAGTGGCAAAGAGTCGCGCATGAGCAGCTATCTTCGGACGTTGACTTTCAAGCTAACACCTCAGGAGGTCGAAGAGATCTCGAAGGTTGGCGAGCAGAAACATTACCGAGCATTCTGGCAAAACAAGTATGCGCAAGATGATCGATCATAGAGTGTGAATAGCGATCTAAAAGAAATAGAGTCAATTATATCAACTATAGACTAAGTCCTCATAATAACAATACCATCAATATACCAACTCAATGGCTCAACGAATGCCCGATCAACAGCAATGAACAATACAGTACAATACCACGTATTGATAAGATAAGCGGCCCATCACGTACGGTCCGTACTCCATCTCCAAATCCTTTGATCGGGGACATCTCCCGCCTTTATCCTCTCTTTCTTGGTTCTTTTCCCTTTGTGATTTACTTATTGCTTCTCTTGATCTTCTCCATCCCTTCATTGTGGTCGATCTCCCAGGGTTATGGGATCACTTCCCCCACGCGCAAGAGTAGTAGGATGCCCTGATTATTCGTTCTCTCAATGCCCGCGCTTGACTACTATCCTTCGCTTGACTCGATGCTTTGACCGCCATTCGGTAACTTGTGTCATCGACTGGGTGGATGAACAAAGGACTCGGTGACACGCTTCAGCTTAGCTTGTGAGGCGCCTTTGATACTGGCATCTTTGGTGGAGGATCTTGCGAAACCCTGCGCACTGCCATGTCGGTGAACGAGAACCGCCATACCCAAAACATCACGAATCCCCGAGCTACAAGCTCTCCTACTTTGGACCGTGAAGCGCTTGACCAACGACTGAAGCACCTTTCCGAGGAAGTCCTCCCGTCCGTACCTTACCTTCTCACTCTTCCCACCAATTCGCCTTTCCGACAGGGGAACCGCCGCGAGAACCATTGGGCGGTAGGGAATGACAGACCCTTCCGTCCTGAAGAGCAAAAACTTCAGTACATGACCTTCCTGGCACATCACGATACGGATTCGCTACTTGTTGCTGTTGGAGACTGGTCAGATGAGACGGGGCGCATGATGGACGATCGACCAACGGCCCCAAGCACCACAGAAATCCCAAGAGAATCAGTGGCCAGGAAGAAGATCAGTCTCAAGGATTACAAGAACCAGAAGAATAGCGGTCCCGTCGCATCTCCTATGGGCCCCGAACCAAGTGGTCGCAGTATATCAGACTTACTGCAATCCGAAGAAAAACGGCAAACGACGGGTTCAAAACCACCGAAGAACCCAGATAGGACCGAGACACCACAAATGCCACCCAAGTCTGACACGCGCCTTTCTCCTGAAAGGGTGGGCCAGAAACGGCCATCTGGCTCGGACCGCGAGCTTCTCGACCCTCGGGGAACCAAAGATCCCGCAACCTATTCTCCCAAAAAGCCGCGCCTTTCTCCTGGCAAAGAAACGCGCCGAGACCCCAGCCCATCGAAATCGCACTCCCCTAAACTCCCCGCGCTCCTCTCGCCCACCCTCCCACCAACCTCAAATGGCCCCAAACTTCCGCGTTTATTGTCTCCTACCTTGCCGCCACATATTGAGAAAGAACTGGCCCGTCTCGATAATCCTTCCTCACCCCGCCATGGCCGTCCAAGTGCGTCCGAAAACGCATTACCTGAGAAAGATTCAAATATCCATGACCAGCCAAAGGAAAATGTCCGCCCCAGCGCGCCCAAGTCACAACTCATTGCGAAATTGCGATATGGGAGGGCAAATAGGAAACGGGTTGAGGCTTTACTCAAATTTTCTGGTAAAAAGAAAACACGTCGGTCAGATTCACCAGTCAGCCAGGATACCGATCGCGACGACACCTCCCATTCTAGGAAAAAGGGAGGAGAAACGACGGGATCATTTCGCAGTAATGTTCTGTCTGGGTCCATGAAAAACAAAACCAAACACGAGACCGACGAAGCCCTTCGTCCTCATGATAGTCGCCCAAGAGAGCCAAAAGGTCTCGCAGAAAAGGCCCGAACTCCCCTCTCACAACCAGCTGTGCCTTCTCACACACAAGACAAAATCAAGCCAGCTGCAACCACACCGAGAGACCGCAAGACGTCTGCCTCACGCCGGATTGACATCGGAGAGAGTGATGGCAAAACACCCTCTCATCCTGCTAACAAACGACATTCCGTTGACACTGGGATAGTTGTCAAAGCGTCTCCATCTCAGTCTGATAGTCGATCGCGTGAGCGCCGAGCTTGGCGGGATGAATGGCAAAAGTTTTCAACCATCGGCCGTGAGTTGAAACATGCTGCAGACCGACACAACTCCAAGAATGGTGCCTCGTCGTCGGATGAGAAACTCGCTGCTGTGACTGCCATTGAGGCATTACTGTCCTTCGTTTTAGCCTTTGTGGCAGACGATCAGTCCAAAGCTGTATCACGCCAGGTCGGAGACTCCTCGACATGGCTGTCCATCGTTCCGTACTGGAAAGTGGTAAAGAAGCTGACTGCACCCTATCCTGCGCTATCAAATCTTTGTTTATTGCTTGGTGCTGTCTCATTCAATGCTATCCACGCACTTGATCTTGAACGCCTCGCCATAAGCCCAATTCCTGGAGAGCATACTCCAGTACCCACTCCTGGAAGTGATGGCAATGCGATTCTGTCGGACGAAAACAGAAAAGCCAGAAAAGAATTCATAGATCTGAAGAATCGTCTTCCTGAGTGCTACAAAGAGTCCCAGAAACTGTGGCTGGAAGGCACACGAGGTCTCTCTGAAGATACCCTTGCACGTGAGTTCCCTACGAGCTGGTCTCGGCGATCTCGAAATTACTCAGAGCGAGGTCGAGCATCGCTCAAAGCTGGCGACTATTCCGGGAGCTATTTCTTGCCACTAGGAGGTACGACTCCCCCTATCGAAGTGGTGCGCTTTGGCGGATCCCTGCTCAAAGAATGGTGCTCGAAGGAGCAGGTCGAGTGGAATGGGCGTCTCGGTGTCTGACTTATTCCTTGTCGCCTACAGTCTCCAGGCTGGCTCAACATGGCGTCCTGGAGGCTTGTTCCCGTTTTTCTTCCCTGGCTTTCTTTTATTCTTTCATGATACCACGAGCTCTGGATTTCATGTAGCTATTTGCCATTCGAGTATATCATAGGGCATGCAAACTACTAATCAATTTCCCTACCAAGACGAGATGTTTAAGTGTGCGTAGATTGGAATTAAATTTGCAAAGGAAACCGGCTCGTCAATTCCTCTGAATTCAATGTCGCTAATATTTGGAATGGAAAGATCATAATCGCTCAAGTGTACACAGAAATTGTGCAAATGTCATCATGATTGTGGAAACAAATGCGTCGCCCAGAGCTTATAAAAAATGACAATTTGGCCTAAACCTCTTGGTATTCAGGGCCGAAACGAGACTGCGAGTCGCCAAAGAGCCAACCAGCCTCACGGCAATACCGGGCCTCTCGGCCATAAATGCCAACCTCACTGGCCCAGCAAATCACGGCCGCGTCGACAATATCAGCAATGACACCTTCCATCGCACTCAGTATGGTCCATCCAATCGTTCCAGCAATGAGACCGACCACATAAGCGTAGAGGCTGCCACGAATTGTGCCGCCGGTAGCAGAGGTCGTCAGGCTCCGAGCAGTGGTAACCCAGCCACCGAACCCCAGAGCTAATGACATCATGAAACGGGTAGCATAAAGAATCAGCTTGGAAAGTCGATAGGAAAGAAGAGAGGCCGAGCTCCCGGCAGGATAGGAACGAGGGTGTATAGAAGTCGAGCCAGCCGATGGAGCAAGCACAGTCATTTGACTTAAACCTCGTGATGATGCAGAAAGTGGCTGCGAGTGGATTGCGGCGTAGGTGAGTGAAAGCGGATTGGTCAAATAAGTAATAGGTGTGGGAACAAGTGAATAAGCAAACAGACTGAGCAGTGAGGAGATACGACCTGGTAGCAATAGAAGCGGAAGACGAATCAATAGCCCCAAAAGTCTGGACAGCGAAATTGTGCCGAACAGAGTGGTCACAGCATGGACGATGGCTGCCTGAACAATCTGCCTCGAGGTTGGTGCAGGTGTGGTCAAGCGGTGGAAGTACCACTGGCTTACCGTTGCGGCCGTGACGGAACGCTGGATGCCTGCAATGACGCCGATTGACCACAGATAGACAATGACAAAGTAAACGCCAAGCCACCAGCTGCTCAAATCGATAATGAAAGACCGAGGACCAGCGTGACCGCCTAGAAAGACGCGAGTGAACATCAGCATCCAGATCCACGTCCAGGACACCACGCAGACCATGGCCCCTAACCCAAGAGCAAGTAGCTCCGGATTGGCAGCCAAAATTCGACAAGCAAATTCAAGGATACCAATCGCCTTCCCGATAGATTGACGGCCGCGGACAACATTGTAGACCCACATCGTGGCCATGAAGAATGGAACAGCAGAGCCCCATCTCATCGCTTTGTCTTGTATACTTGCACCGAGCCATGGTCCCTTGAAACTTGAGATGAAAGGGTAAAAGGAAAATGAGAATAGGATGACCGGAACAGCAACGATGATCACGTGGACCAGAAGTCGCACGTAAGATCTCAACAAGGCCAACCAGAGAAGAGAGACAAGAACAGAAACGATAGTATAGATTCCAAGAAGGAAGAAGGACCCATGGACAGTCATGTATATTGTATCGCCCCATTTTGATTTGTCTCCAGATGGGGTAGATGTGTGAAGATACACGAGGAATGCAGAGGCAAACAGTCCAGCAAGAGATATCAAGAATAGCTGACCCCAAAATGCATCATGGACGATGGTTTCTGAGACCAGCGGAGATACTGACGCTGGAAATGAGTCTGTCGAGCTGGATGGTCGCGGGACATCATGCGATACAAGACCGGCCTGTTCAGCAGGCCCCAGAGGTCTGATCTCAGAGTCCTTCGTTGAGCCTCGCTCTCTAAATCGTTGGATGGGTGGATCGCGGCCACCGGGGCTGCGTGGCACCTGGTCCTCGTCAAAGTCGGCTCGTAAAGAATCCTCGAGACCAACATCAACCAGATGGCCTCGGACCTTGCTACTGCTGGGGCTAACTTGAGACCCAAGGCCATGCTCTGCTACCTCTTCGACGGGCTCAATCTGAAAAGGGCGAGTAGAAGCAATACTATTTTCACCACGCCATGAACTTTTTATTCCTTTCCCGTTACCAGGACGGTCATCATAGGGTGAATGCCCCTCATTGAGTCCTCCTGAACGTTCAGAATCATCAAGTTCCGAGGATTCCTTCAAGTTGCTGTCACCAAAATGTCTCCTTGATTGTTGTAAGGCGTAGAAATCTGCTACTTCCCGTTCACGTTCTGTCTCGTCATCTTCTTCTCGAAATTCGTCGGTGGTACTGAAAAAAGGGGAGCTTGGGCAGGACCCCGGGAGGCAAAGGGTAAATGAGAGGTTTGAGATGCACCAGGTCTATATGGATCGCTCGGTCGTAGGAAAGACCGCGACGAAAGCTGTCGTGGGTTTCCTTGATGTTGTTGATTGTGACGAGTACGGCCGGTTCTTTGAAGGTCATCCGGGCGAGACGCTACCCTCGACTGTGACTGGGCAAGGAAGCGTGAGGCATCTAGGACAAAACATTAGTTATGAAATTCAATTTCAAGGTCTCCTGGCTCCTACATTCGGAGAACATGGCCTGCTTTCGCAATAACAAGAAATACGGTGAGCGGACCGGCGATGTACACAGTGGACCGGGGAAATGAAAATTCAAGAGGTTATGAGGGAGAGAGGGGGGAGAGGGAGGGAAAACAGAGTACAAAGCTTGATATTTGAGTAAAATCTAGGGATAAAGGAGAGGGAAACCCCAAGGACGTGTGAAGTCTACGATAGGACATAGGTCACGCAGCTGATGAAAGCGTCATACGGGCACGTCAGGCTTGATAGATGACTCAGCTGATAATCATCTTCCAACTACATTGCCATTTGCGCTTTCTCTCTCATCTTCTCTTGATCTGCTCTCTCCATGTCACAGCCATGGGACTACATCGCTAAGCTTGTCTGCATTGGTGACTCTGGCACTGGCAAGTCCAGTGTATGTACCTATCTCTCGAGGTTACGAGCAGTACTAACCAAACAGTAGCTCACCATCCGACTTTGTGAAGGCCGCTTTTCTCCGTCGCATGATGTAACTATTGGTGTCGAGTTCGGATCGCGGATCGTGCCAGTTGGTCCCCCAGCCTCACTAGAGCTAGAGCTTGATGGGCCTTCTCCTGGGTCGCCGCCGCCGGCAGGCGATACACCAGACGCGCCAACCACCTCCGGACTTCCTACTCCGCCACGAAAGCCACACGACCCTCCCATTCAAAAACGCATGAAACTTTCCCTGTGGGACACCGCTGGACAAGAGACATACAAATCCATTACCCGCTCCTATTTTCGAGGTGCTTCCGGCGCGCTTCTAGTGTTTGATATCTCGAGACGATCAACTTTCATCTCGTGCACCCAGTGGCTTCAGGATCTACGGCAAATTGCAGAAGATGGCATCGTGGTGATCCTGGTTGGAAACAAGACTGATCTGACAGGGGCAGATTCAGGGTCAAATCAAAGACAGGTTCCCCAGCAGGAGGCTGAGGAGTGGTGTCGCATGAACAACGTGGTCCGCTATGTTGAAACGAGTGCCAAATCTGGGGACGGTGTTGAACGGGCGTTCCTGGAAGTTGCTGAGAGAATCTATCGCAACATTGAAACCGGGAAATACGACCTTAATGACCGGCGGAGTGGGGTGAAAGGATTCGGCGCCTCAGGGGGAGCAAACGCAGGGGTGTCTAGGACTGTAACTTTGGGGATGGACGACGCCATGCGCAAAGGCGGCAATGGTTGGACTGGGGGATGCTGCTAAACCCGGTCTGCGTGGATCATAGTTGGCACCATGTGGAATATTCCCAACATGCGCAGCTGGCTGAATCAAAGCAAGCATCGGCCTTACACGGCGGCCGCCTTCAACATTTTTTTGAACTACTGCTCATCTAGCGTGACTTCTAGGGAGATATATGCTTAATCTCTAATGGCATCCTCATTGCATTTTTTTCCCGTCAAATCATGTACCAATAAAGGAGAGAGGCAGAAGGAAAGTAGAATTATCTGTGTTGATACAAGAATCCATGTAGGCGTTAAATCCATTGAGAGCTTGGGGGTAGTCAGCATCACCAAATGAAGCAAAAAGAACATGCGGGGCATTTGTTCAAAAAATCCCTCACTTAGTTCGAAACTTTCCATCCGGGCAACCAACGCAGGTGAGTCCATTGCTGGTTGGAGCCCTCCATTCCAAACACAATCGCTCGGAAATGGACGAACAGCCCAATGATTACCACATAGAGCGAGGTATACAATGCCGCAGCAAATCTAGGGTTCATCCTGCGCGTCACCCAATCAACACAGAATCCGAAGGTCAGGATTGCGTAATAGAGAGCCGGGTAATAGTGGTGGACGTAAGTGACACGCGCCATGATAATGAAGGGAAGGTAGTGCAACACCCATCCAATGGCCGGGTACAAGCCAGAGTAGTGAATATGACGGATATCCTCATCGCTCAGGTCTTTAAACCCTCTCTGCCAGCGCAGAACGTACCAAAGGAAGAGAAGACCGAACCCGCCAAGACCAGCAGTACTTGCCCAGTAGACAAATGGATTTCCAAGAAGATAGTACTTGACCACATTATCGTCCCAAGAGCACATGCGCAGGCCAACATTCAGAATTGGCCATTGCCAGAACTTGGATGCCAAATCATCCTGCTTATCGGGGTCAGGGACAAGAGCATTGTTGGAAGTCATCATAGCCACATTCAGATGGATGAAATCCTTCAAGAAGGGCGATTTATAGGAGCCGGGGTCACCAGGAGGCACTAGAAACAGTCAGTACGTCCTGCTAAGATCACGAGGTGCAAGTGTTAGATTTGTAACTTACGGCGTTCATTGGTGTGAGACTCCACGTTCCAGTGGGTGTATACATCGCCAGGCTTGTTCTCTTTGGTACAAGTCGTTTCAATCTGCTTAAAGCCCCATTGGGGTAGATTGACGTTTCCTGCCCGTAGATAGCATCCTAGGACTGGATGACGGAGCCGGAATGCCGTTGTTAAGGTTCTAATTCGGGACCGGTCCCTTGATGCAACATCATCGACGACTTCAACCTTCCAGTGGTCTTTGTCGTCTCCGATCGTGATGTTTCCATAGGAAGACACTTCATGATGAGACTTGGTGATTGGTGCAGGGATAGCATGAGAATGCAAGTTGCGACCAGTCTGGCCATGGATAAGCCGAATGACATCGCCGTCGCCAACAAATCGCAGATCAGCAGTGGCATCATAGTCAGGTTCCTGCCGATTAGGATAGATGAACCAATCATTGTTTGCATCTTTATGGTGGTAACAGGTAACCTGCTGCTGCATAGATCCCTCCGGGAAGGTCTGGACATGGGAGTGCAAGAGTCCTCCTCCATAACCCATGTTCTTCAGAGTTACACGAGATCCAAGTGCAAGCTCAAGAGGACTGTCTCTGCCGACCTCGGTGCCTCGCAGGTTGGCTTGGAAGAGTGAGCTCATCTGGGCATCACCTGGACCACTGTTTGCTAGCACCAAGAAGTGCAGGTAGAAAGAAAACATGTAAACCAAAATTGGAATCACGATCAATCCCACAACGCGAGTAATCAGATGCTTCGCAAGGACAGTCTGTCAGGCGCATGATGTATTAGTTCGTTACTCAATTGAGACATAAAGGAGCCAAGAGATAGCCGGTACTCACCTGGGGCATTTTCAGATCGCCAAATTTATTCCACAGATCATCAATGGTATACAACCCCACAAGAGCAGTGCAGAAGAAACCGACCCATTTAACACTGCAGACACAACCGATGCTCAAACCAGTTAGGCAAAGCCAAGTGTACCATTCTAGCGAGAAGCTAGCGCGTTGCAATCGATGGAACCTCGCCCAGCACATTGTTGTGGTAAATGTGAAACAGAGCAGCATAGAGTCAAGGAGGATAAACCGGGAGATTGTCGCATAAGAGTTCTCAAATAGCACCATAAGACTGATCAGCCATACAGCGGCCCGGCGAAGGTTTAACTCCCGGGCAGTGTAGTAGGCAAGGGGAACACAGATGATACCAAAGGCAGCGTTGAAAGCTCGCATGAAGGTGTAGTTCACGTCCTCTGGATATTTCTCGCCGGATTTGAACTCGAAAGATCCATTGTAGCCAGCAAGGTAGCCAGACAGTCCAACTAGCATCTTTCCCAGGGGCGGGTGGACATCGAAGTAGAACTCGCGTTTGAGGTAGTGGGATCCGAATTTACCAAAGTGAGCCTCATCCCACGTAACAATGTTGGACCGACCGATTCGATACAGGCGAGTAAAGAGGGCGAGAGCTGTCAGAATGACAGGAGCAATGATCGGCTCCCAGCCAGCAAGCACATGGAGGAATGAGGGGGACTGTCCAGGAAGTTGATTAGAGAGGACATCCCAATAGCTAGGGGTCAGTCTTACCTGGAGCCTGGATTTCTTCGTGTCTTCATCGGCTGTCTCAGTTAGAGGCGCAGAGTTGCCGTTGCCAGTAACAGGGATATTTCTCCGACGCAGGTCAGAGTCATGTTTGGCGCCTGTGCTCACAGCAGTGTCTAGTCCCGCCATGATATGCGCTGGACTTATTCAACCCACTGAAAGCTGTGCTCAACAAATGTAGTCAGATGGATATGAGAGAGGGTGGGGAAGAAAGAAAAGACGTGACAATAGTCGGGGGTAAAGAGGATGGTTCAATGGAACATGTCCATTCCCGACGTAAATGAGTGGTAGGACTGGAGCAAAGCTAGCGGGCTCACCGGAAGCAATGCTAAAGTAAATCAAACAATAAATAAGAAGGCGAAAAATGGAAAGGAAAAGGAGAAGAGAGAATGGGAGAAGAGGAAGAGAGAGAAGAGGAGTGATCCGTGGCCTCAGGATAAACAGTCCAGTCCACTTTTAGCCCGAGGGGCCGTTTTCAGAACGTGGCCCTTCCTCCTGTTTTCCGTTCACATTCTTCTCTGCATTTACTATATATTAATGAAAAAGGATTGAAACTGTTCTGGGATAATTAAGAGTTCTCATCCTTGGCTCCAGAACATTTTAATGATACATATAAGTTATGTACTGTAACATTAAGTTCTTTACAACCAAGTATATGTATACTCCAAGGAATTAAAGGAACCGTATGTATAAACTACCTAGGTATAGTAACATCCTGTTTGTAATGTCCTGGAAGGTCAATAATAAAAGCCAAGGTATGCATCGCATCCTCTATCAGATCAGAGTTGCAAAACCTATGTTCCAAGATTCGAACTGACATCTGGCAATGCAAAGGGGTAAAAACAAACACAACTTAAGATATATACCGGTATCACAAGGGTACTCTAGGAGAGGCGAAGCATGCTATAAGTTGTTGTGATTTACCTTCATCCACTCACGGACCAAAGTCAGAGATTGATCCCGGTTGGTTTCATTGCTCATCTCCCTCTCCTTGCTCTAGGCGCCGATACTGACTGCTGCTAGCCCCAGTGCCCGATCCACGGTTTCGGTTGACCATGCTCGAGATCCAGCCACCAATGCCTTCATCTCGAGCATTACCCTGCCGCGAGTTTGAGCGCCCACGCTTGCTGGGGCCGTCTTGGCTCGGTGTTGGCGGGTCAATATCTAGACCAGGAATGGCATTTTCTGTGCTAACCTGACCGTACTGTCGACGCAGGTCAAGTGAGGGAACGGGTGAACCAGCACCCATCAGTGATCCTCGTTCGCCTTGGGTAGCGGGTGTAGGCATGGCGGTGGAAGCGTCACCAAATAGAATGTTCATATCTTCCAAACGAACTCCGCTCGTCTCAGGATACAGGAAGTAGACTAAGAATAGTTCAGTATCACGGTCACTGTCAAATGTTAAATTGTCAATCTCTTACCTAGCACAAAACTGCATGCACAGAAGAATGCGTGGACCAAATAGAGCCGCCACTTTATGGCAGCCTGAAGGACTGGGGTAACCTCACCCACAAGCCAATTGAACGCCCAATTTGAAGCAGTACTCAAGCTTGCACCCTTGGCACGGATGCTCAAGGGCAGAATCTCGGGCGGGTATAGCCATGGAATTGGGCCCCACGATGCACCAAAAGCTGCATTGTAGATCATGACAAATATGACCGTAAGGGTTGGAGTTGCAGTGATATCGATATAAATGAAATATGAGATCAGAGATAGCGAAATGATCATGGCCACGGCACCCGAAAGAAGAATAGGTCGCCGACCCCAGCCATCCACAAGATACCATGGCGGTACAGTAGACAACAGATATGAAATTCCATTGATTCCAGTCATAAGGATCGCAGATCGTCCGGACCAGCCAGCCTGTAGAGTATCGCGTTAGCATCCGTGATGGTCTTTTTATCTCGAGTATAGTCCAAGGGGGGGAGATCTGCATAAATGCAGAGGGCATCCATACCGATTCAAACACGAGAGGTGCATAGTATGAGATGACGTTGATTCCATTTAGTTGGGCAAGCGCTTGAGCCGACATTGCAATCAAAACACGCTTGCGATACCGATGGAACATATCAGAATAGGATCGCTCGCCTTCCTGTCGCTGGACAAGGACATTCATTTTGATCTCACGATACTCTTGGCGGGCCTTGTCATTGAGTAGATCGCCTTCGCCATAGAGATTGGCAATCACCACCATGCCCTCTTCGTCATGGTCGTTGTCAAGAAGCCACCTGGATGGAAGGCTCATTAGCATGGCAGGAGGAGAGGTTTTTTTGTTACGGCTCACCTGGGTGATTCACAGATGATCAAGCTACCAAATCCAAGTAAAGCACCCATGATGCACTGGAAAAGCAGCGGGAGGCGCCAGGAGTAGTCGTTGTCAATGAAGCTACAAAAGTAATCTACCCATACACTGGTTGCATATCCAGCTATATTTCCAGTGAATTCAATGCAAGCAAGTTTGCCGCGGTTGTGAGGAGGCTGTGGTCTGATCAGCATATCGGAGATAGAAGATGAGTAAAGAAGAATAGGGTAAATACCGAAATTTCTGACTGATAGACCGGCACAATGGTAGAAAGGGCACCGACGCCGAGTCCAGCAATAACCCGACCAACCATCATCATAGGAATGCCTGTTGCAAATGTCTGGAAAGCACCACCAACAAAAAACACAATGGAACCATAGAGAATCGTCCTTCGGCGTCCGATCATATCACCGACTCGTCCCACGAGCAGAGATGATATAAAGGCCCCGACTTCAAGGATTGCAACAACAGTGCCAATGGTAGCCCGAGAGGGCTGATTGAAGTAGTCTTTGAAGTGCATGCCACTGCGCTTGTTAGCTACACCCTGACCAGGCACGGACCAATGAGCCCCGAGAGCTAGAACAGAAGGGACACACGAACGTTATGATTCCAGACATCACACCCTGGTCATATCCAAAAAGGAATACGCCCAGAGAAACAAACACACTTGTAAAATAACTAAACGAATACCAAAGTCAGCGAGGCTGGTGCATTGTGTTTATTTCCAAGACTTACAGTAATGGTTTTCCGACTAAACCATGTATTTGGGCATTTTGCCCACTCCTAGGTGACATTATTTTTGCCAGCACACGTTCAGCTCTTGAAATATGCCGCGGAGGAGGAGTTGGTATTCGTATTTTCTCGATATCGATTCCAGAAGGTTCGTGTTCGTCTGAATGATAATGTACGTGTCTCTGTTTTCTTCGCCCGCTTCGGCCTAGAAGCTCGCGGTCCAAAGATTCACGAAAGTGATCCTCGAGCGGATCTTCGGCAAATTGCTCCGCGAGGTCGCCAGTATCTGACCAGATAGAGAAGCCAGACTCGACCGAGCGAGCAGACGAGCGGGAAGATCGTCGGCTGCCTTTCTCACTGGGGGGACCTATCACAGCTTGTGGGTGGGAATCGGAGTATAGGGAACGGAGGGGTATGTTGGAGGCGCGTGGGGAGGAAATGGTTGGAATGATGGCGGTGACGGGCTGATTCCAGCCCTTGAACCGGGAAAAAAGAATGTCAGGGAACTATGGAACTATATCGATAAAAGTTCCAGAGTTTCTCCGCAAGGAGTCAGAGATGTACTAGTCGCAATAGGGCGACGCCACTTAGAGGGTGCTGTAAAGGCAAGTCGCACGGGATCGACGCAAGATGACGGGGTGGTCAGGCGGAGATCCGGAGAGAGGGGGTTGCGTTTGGGCTTCTACAAAAGAATACCCGACTATGATCAAGTGATGAAGATTCTCTATGGATTAAGGAAAGAAAAAATAAGGAAAAGAAAAAGGAAAAGGGAAAGGAAAATGGAACAGGGGAAACCTCGTATATGAACGCATATACACCGGATTTTAGGCCGCGCGACATGACTTTCTCTTTCCGTTTTAGTTATAACGCCCCTGAGTGTTATATAATCTTTAAAGCCGCTCACTGAGCATTACTTGATTATTATGTAAGCCGATGACTCGCTCACTGGGCGTCACCTGAGCGCTCTGATTTGCTCACTGAGTACGACCTGCTCATTATGTAAGCTTAGTGACTGGCTTACTAATCGTCCTCCGAGTAACCTAATCCACTTATGGATTTTGTTGTGGAAGGGGAGTTGGAAATACAACTTGATTGAGGGGAGATCAAGGTCGTGGAAAGAGGAGACGTTGCCTTTCAGCGGGTAAATATGCGTGGATGGAAGAACACGAGTGATAGGGAACGGGCACGAAGGTTTTTCGTCCTGCAGGATTGTCCCTAGGCTTGAGAAAGCGAGATGCCAGGGATTCACTGGGGATACATGTATCTGTTCAAGACATGGTGGCATGAATGTTCATAGCATTTTGAAGGAATTCAATCAAATATTACCTGGTCTCTAAACTTGTACTTTCTCTGATTTTGTTGCTATTGATACTTTATCTGTCTCTACCCAGATAGTATCTGTATTGCACTATCAATAATGTGAGAACTTCCTGCATAATCTATAATGAACGGACATGTCTACATATAGGTTAGATAGCAGACCAACAGTGTTCTTCTCACTCCACATTACCATGGTTTAACTACAACACCTGCTTCTCCGCATTCATACCGAGAAGGTCGATATCAGACGGCACTGACATACCTTCGGAACTGACGGTCAATTAAAGCGAGCAGTTCGTCTAACTTTAATAAGTTGCATCCGTTAAACATCATGGGTGGCCGTAAACAATATCGATCACAATCCGCCAGTTCTTCCAGAGCATCGTACCACCACACGTAAGTTTCCACAGGAATATACATCCAGCCAACCATGTGGAATTCATCATCTGTTTCTCCATCATGTCAATCAGGATGGATTTGGTATTCCTCTCTTGTGGGAGATAAATTGCCCCAGAACCCTGATAGAACTTTGACAATAGGATCGAAATTGGGATCATTGATATACTTAATCGACTCTAGGCAGAAATCGTCCACAAAGAGGCAAAAATTATACCGTGCACCAAGGCTGTACTCTGGCCCAGCTGATCAGTACTATTATTAGATTGGAGACATTCGAGCACTTCGGGACTAGCGACGACCTGAGGCAGTTGATCTGCAACCTATGTGTTGAAGTGGTCGCGAATGTCATAGGATATAGCTCTTTTAAATTTCGCGATGTCGTCATTGATGGCTAGCCGATGAAATGGTAGAAGGTCTATTATCTGGTTGCATTCAAGACTGACTTTAATCTGTTTCTCTTTGTATTGGAGTAGAAGATTCTAGGCGCTCTCTACCTTATAAGTACAGCGGTAGATCGCGAATCCCCAAGGTAGATCTCGCTATTTTTTGCGGTAATCGGAGCGGGAGGCATCGATTTGCATTTAAAGGTCAAACATATTGCGTGTCTGCTGATGTTGTGGCTTTCTGGTGAATTGCCAGAGTCGCTAGAAAGCTCCGTCGTAGACAGCGCTGAGGCAATCCGGAGGTGATACGATTGAAGATAGGCTCTAGCAGTGACATGGAGCCCGGTCAAGATCCAATAGGGTGAACAGCTGTTGTTCAAAGAGTCACTGTCGAGAGCTGTAAAAAAGGAGACTTGGGAGTTTCAGCCACTGAAAAGGATTTCCTGTCTCAATATCACATGACCTAATAGGGGCTGCCTTCGAGACTTCTTTCGTTTGAAAAAATAAATTCTATTGCAATTCGATTTTTAATGATCTTGAAACGGCAAGAGGTGCATATCACAAGGCAGGATCACAGCTTCGGGACAACCCGGGCTTAACCTAGGCTGGGTTGGGTTCTGCGCCCCTAATTTGGGTTACGAACACTGCAAAAACGCTTAGGCCCGTTACTATATTAATTTAGTAGTTACTACCTATAATATTGAGTATCTCGATTACGAACCTACACTGTCTAATATATCTTAGAAAATAAGCCTGTAGACATCAATTGTCAGGACCCATAGGGTCTGACAGGCTGCGTGGCTATACTGACTGGGTCAGTTGGCACGTGAGCGGAGCGCGTACTTAATACGGTGTAAGAGCTCGCTTACATGGCCAGCTCGCTTGCCGAATACGTTGATCACCCTGTGCTGAGAAATGCTCAGTGAGCATGACCCTGAGCGCCCTTATAAAGCGGCGGCACCCTAATCGAGCAAGTCGCGACCACGGCCTCAAATCCGGTACATACAACCACGTACGTATCGAGTTCCTCTAATCCGGGGTGGGATCGACGGCTCCATTACTATTTATGGAACCTGCCTATACTCCATACTTCATGTTGAGATCAATGTAGTTGACTTTGTCCAATTGGAATTCCAGGGGTGAGGGCATATTAAGCGATTACTACTGCGTTTCACACTGGTTGCTATGTTCCATATCTATATTCCTGGAGATGAAAACAGGGTATCATATAGTTACATAAAATCGCGATCTATTTAACATACTCATGCTCAGATGGTTGTTTTAGAAATGCAAAAACCAACAACCAAGGATTTGGAAGGGGGATTCTATGTGAGAAGAATATCATATCCATCACTCTGGATATGGACAGCATCGGCCAAACTGGCATAACGTCGGCGAACCAACTCAAAGATCACCAGACCGGCACTGGTGCTGGGAACTTGGCGAATCGAGCTGCCAATAAAGCCACGGAACAGCCAGGGTCGCCAGCCCCCAGCTCGTATGGCCTTTCGCTCGCACCTCTTGAAAGTTTCTTGGTAGGCGTGGTAGTAGAGTTGCATCATTTTTTGTCGTGACGGGATGAGACTGGCCTGGTGATCTAAATACTCTAGTCGACCTAGATGAAGGTCTTGAATCCTGCTTAAAGGGTGTTGTATTGCTTGCTGGGCAATCGATGCCACGACACCGGCCATCAGCAGGAAGCAAGGCTCAAGGGCATAGTGAGGTTTGATGAGTGGTACTCCACGGTCGCTGGACCCTGACGATGGAAGCAAGTCCACGTGCTCAGATTGTAGAGACCCGTAGTACCAAGTAACGAAAGAATAGTAGGATTGCGACTTGATATACTCAAATGAGGAAAAGAATATCGCATATCCAAAGGAATCTCGCAGAAATGAAAGACTCCAGCCCGCAAATACCCCGCGGGGACCAATTTGTTTTAGCTTTTGGTGACCGTAATGCCACATGCTTCGATATTGGCCCTCTAGCATATCGTTTGTTTGTAGGCGAACCTGTAAGGCGTCCAGAGGGGCAGCAACAATGGACTGGATAGTGCCAGCGGTAAATCCAGCAGCAAATGTTGCAGAGGGGGGAGCTGGGGGCCAGATTCGCTTGACTCCCTGAGACACAGGTTCATGGAGAGCCCCCAAAACCTGGAGATAAGATGTGTAGAGGACCGCACCAACCCTTTTGGTTTCACATTAGAGCTTTTGATATATGAGGTACGAGACGTATGGTCAACTCACCCTGCATTGGCCATCAAAGGTGGTAGGACTTGGTTGGGGATAAAGCGCCAGCCATATGTCCTTACAGCATGGAGTAACAAGCCCGGGGTTGTCGTATGAAGAGACCATTTGCCTTGGGCAATACGAGGATTCACAGCTCTTGCAAACGCCTGTTTCAATAAAAACACACCAAGAGCTAGTGATTAGTTGATCGGGTCTCTGACCTATTGTGGATTGTTGGAGATAGATACCATGTAGCTAAGCTATGTCAGTACAAGTACCGTCAAGAATATCTGTGAAAGTCACTTACTCAACACGCGTACGAAAAAAAGCTTTGATTGGTGCTCTGAAATAGAAAGCTACCATCTGCGCACTGAGAGCCCGAACACCTGCGGCAGATGCACCAGTAGCCGCATCGTTGCGAGAAATCCGCCGTGGGTTTCCCAATTCACCAAGATGGGTCTCAAGGATCGGAGACGTAGAGGATGACATTGTTCACAGCCGCTCATAAACCAACCAGAACCATCGCAAGCAGTAGAGGGAGAGTGAGCTTTCGCAGTGGTATTCAATCAGTATCGGAGATATTTCGGTAGGGCGTAGGCGCAGAAAAAGTGACAGCATCAGAGATGTTTATATCCAAGTCGAAGAGTAAAATGAAGGCTCACACATGACATTTTGGCCTGAAAAGAAATACAAAGAAGGTGAACAGTCATCAAAGAATTGAGCAAGCACAAAGTGATCAAATAGATCGAGAGACAAGACCGGAAGCCAGTGGCAGAAAATGACGCTAGGCCTGAAGAGGAAATACTTTGACACGGCAACCCAGTGAGACCTACAACGTAAAAACGCGCTTTTCGCGTCGCTTGCCAGCTTTCACTTTCTATCTTCATCCCTCTGCTCCATTGATGTTTATGGCATCAATGCCGCTTTCATTCTTCCATTTACCTTGTTTCTCAATCTAACTTTATATTCTCCTCGTGTTTTTAAAGGCTTACCTCTCTTCACTGAGCTCCCTCACCATCAACCCAGTTTCTTGCGGCGGCAAATCTTACTCGAATCAAACCGCAACCATGGCGGAGGAGATCGCCATCGACAATACCAACTTTTTCAATCGCCTTTCCAATTTCTATGCATCATGGAAGGCTGATAAGCGCTCGGGAAATGCACTCTTCGGCAACGCAGGGTCCATGGTCATCCTCATGGGCAAGACCGATGAGGAGAACTCATTCCAAAAGAACAATGCCATGCATGTATGTAGTACATCTTGCTGTGTTTTACAGCTGATCTGGGATATACCAGAAGCCTTGGGGTCTCGCTAACCGAACCTCAGTTTTGGCTCCTTGGGTATGAGTTTCCAGCCACCCTTTTCGTCCTCACAACCGAAGCAATCTACGTGGTCACCACCGCCAAAAAAGGTATTGTGCAACAATCTTATCAGTATGGGCTACGTCTCTGATGTATCTCCATGGCAGCAAAACACCTGGAGCCGCTGAAAGGCGGGAAAATCCCGGTCGAGATCCTGGTTACGACCAAGGAGCCAGAGTCAAAGACCAAGGCATTTGAAAAGTGCTTGGATGTCATCAAGAATGCAGGAGTGAGTTCTCACCGGAGAGTACTCCCTCGAGAGCCTCCATTTCGGAATGATTCCTTTGTTACTAACCAAGAGAACAACAACAGGGCAAAGTCGGTACTTTACCCAAGGACACAACCTCAGGACCCTTCGCAGATGAATGGAAGCGTGTTTTTGCGGACATTTCGAAAGAGGTGGAGGAAGTTGATATAACACCAGCGCTTTCCGCTGCTTTTTCGATCAAAGACTCCGACGAACTGGTTCGTTAAACATCTGTCAAAGTACCGAAGCAGTGAATTTTGCTAACGTGCGTCAAAGGTGTCTATCCGCAATGCTTCCAGAGCATGCAGCGGTCTTATGTCAGAGTACTTTGTTGATGAAATGTCACGTCTGCTTGACGAAGAAAAGAAAATGACGCACAAGGCCCTGTCTGCAAAGGTTGATGCAAAAATTGACGAACCGAAATTTTTCAACAAGCTAGCACGACTGCCATCAGAATTCGATGCTCGACAGATTGATTGGGCCTACGGTCCTGTGATCCAGAGTGGAGGCAGCTACGACCTCAAACTGACGGCAACATCCGATGGCAAGAACCTCGAGCCTGGCATCATTCTGTCCAGCTTCGGAATCAGATACAAGACTTACAGCTCGCTCATTGCGCGTACCTATCTGGTTGATCCCACCAAGTCGCAAGAAGCTAATTATGCTTTGCTTCTGAGCCTGCACGAAACAATCATGAAAGAAATCCGGGACGGTGTGGTGGCCAAGGACATCTACACAAAAGCCTTGGGTCTTGTCCGGTCCAAGAAGCCCGAGCTTGAGAGCCACTTTGTCAAGAACATTGGCGCTGGGATTGGAATCGAGCTTCGGGATTCCAATATGGTCCTCAATGCCAAAAACAACCGTGTTTTGAAGAACGGCATGACCTTGTCTATCACCATCGGCTTGACTGATGTGAAGGACGCAGACGCGAAGAGTACCAAAAATGGTACTTATTCAATGGTTATCACCGACACTGTTCGTGTTGGAGAAAGTGGTCCCCATATCTTCACTAAGGATGCTGGTATTGATATGGACTCAATCTCGTTCTATTTTGGAGACGATGAAGAGCCCGAAAAGCCCGTCAAGCAGAAGAAAGAATCAAAGTCTAGCGCCATTGCTAGCAGGAACGTGACAAGGACCAAGCTCCGCGCTGAAAGACCTACCCAAGTAAACGAAGGCGCGGAAGCTCGTCGTCGTGAGCACCAAAAGGAATTGGCTTCCAAGAAAACCAAAGAAGGCCTTGATCGGTTCACTGGTGCCACTGGCGATGACAATGGAGTTGCACAGAAGAAGTTCAAGCGTTTTGAGTCATACAAACGCGACAACCAACTTCCAGCCAAGGTCAAAGATCTCACTGTATACGTCGATTCAAAGACATCAACCGTGATTGTGCCCATAATGGGTCGGCCAGTGCCATTCCACATCAATACCATCAAGAACGCCAGCAAAAGCGATGAAGGTGAGTACGCTTATCTACGAATCAACTTCCTATCGCCAGGCCAAGGTGTTGGCCGAAAGGATGACCAACCATTCGAGGACTTGTCGGCGCACTTTGTTCGCAATCTCACTCTCCGGTCCAAGGACAATGACCGGCTTGCACGGGTTGCACAAGACATCACTGAGCTTCGCAAGACTGCCTTAAGACGGGAGCAGGAAAAGAAGGAAATGGAAGATGTTGTCGAACAGGATAAGCTGGTGGAGATCAGGAATCGCCGTCCAGTGAAACTCCCTGATGTCTACCTCCGCCCGCCACTAGATGGAAAGCGTGTGCCAGGAGAGGTCGAGATTCACCAGAACGGTCTTCGTTATCTCTCACCATTCCGCAATGAGCATGTAGATGTGCTCTTCAGTAACGTCAAGCATCTTTTCTTCCAACCATGTGCTCATGAGTTGATCGTCCTGATCCATGTTCATTTGAAGACCCCAATTATGATCGGAAAGAGAAAAACAAAAGACATTCAGTTCTACCGCGAGGCCACAGAGATGCAGTTTGATGAAACTGGAAACCGTCGCCGCAAGCACCGCTATGGGGACGAGGAAGAGTTTGAGGCCGAACAAGAGGAGAGACGGCGACGTGCTGCATTGGATCGTGAGTTCAAGGCATTTGCAGAGAAGGTCGCAGACGCCGGCAAAGACGAAGGCGTGGATGTCGATATTCCGTTCAGGGAGATTGGATTTACCGGAGTTCCAAACCGCTCAAATGTTTTGATTCAACCGACTACCGATGCCTTGGTTCAACTTACTGAGCCTCCTTTCACGGTGGTCACCTTGAATGAGATTGAGATTGCTCATCTGGAGAGAGTACAGGTAAATTTTTGGCTTCTCTTATCACACTAAAACATGGCTTCTAACAAAAGAAATAGTTCGGACTCAAAAATTTCGACCTTGTGTTCGTTTTCAAGGATTTCCGCAGGTCTCCTGTGCATATCAATACGATTCCCGTCGAAGCACTAGAAGGTGTCAAGGACTGGCTTGACTCTGTTGACATCGCCTTCACTGAGGGCCCACTGAACCTGAACTGGACTACAATTATGAAAACGGTTGTCAGTGATCCGTACGGCTTCTTTGCTGATGGTGGCTGGTCTTTCTTGTCCGCCGAGTCGGACTCTGAGAATGGCTCAGACGAGGAAGAGGAGTCTGCTTTCGAGCTTTCCGATTCAGAGCTTGCAGCTGGAGACGAAAGCTCCGAGGAAGACAGCGAATTTGACGACGACGCCAGCGCTGATGCCAGTGAAGAGGAATTCAGTGGTGACGAGGAGAGTGGCGAGGACTGGGACGAGCTTGAGGAAAAGGCGAAACGCAAGGACAAAGAGACCAACCTCGAAGATGACCGTGGAACCAAACGCAAGCGCTAGTGGATCGTAAGCCCTGGGATCCTTATTCCGCTAAATGCCTCTCTCCTAGTTCTTTTTGTCCTTTCTTTGCTCTGCCTTTTCTTTGCGTCTTTTTCTCTGTTCTTTTCTTTGTGCAGTTCGCTGGGTTTCAGTGGGCTGCCTGGGTCCCCCACCTTGTATCTATCTCCTTACCTATGGTCATGGAGGTTTTATGATGGTTAATCAGGAGAAAGCAGAATTCTTCGCTGTAATTTATCAAATGGTCATGCATGTAATTCGTTTGAAGGAATGAAATTGAGACAAGTGATATTTCTCTATTCTGAAGCAGCCGACAAGCAGGATTGTGCGGCCTTAACCCAATCTAGATCGTATGACTGGTAGGGTGTTTAATGCGAGTCTCCAATGCACTACTTCCCTTGTCGCATTGAGGCCCACATGCTTCGCATGCGCTCTCCCTGTCCGGGTGTGAAGCGCTCATAGCATACATCAGACGAATAATCCATAAAGTCATGTACCGCATCTAGTCCGGGGGAGTCGGGGCAGGAATCCTTCCTAGCAGGACAACCATCTGTAGGCGTAGATTGCTGGGGAGTGTCATTGATATAGTCTCCTGGGTTGTCCGCTGAGCATGATTCCCCTTGAAAGGTGTGCAGGAGACCATTCCAATGTCCGATTTCGTGAATTGCGGTCCCTCCACGGTTGTAAAGATCCAGTGAGCCACCAGGCATTGTTTTCGCCAAAACGTTACAGCCATCTTTTACATAATCGGAAGCAGGGCTGCTGGCGTTGACACTCGGATCAGGCAGTGTACAGAATCCCAGAACACTGGATGTTAGATCATGGTTGACGCTAGCACCCCGGTTTCCAACTGCACGTCCGGATTGCCCGGGGGACGCTTGCAAATCTGTTTGGAAATACACATTTAAGGTTTGATACGTTCCTTTGCGAAGTGCAGACTTCATCGCGATATCGTCCCCATTGCGCGCCCACTCGTCGTTCACATGGCGAGTGACACCTCGCAAACGATATGTGATATCAGAGTCTGTATATGACTGTTGCAGAATAGAGAGCTGAGGTAAAAATTAATAAACGTTGCTATATCGATGTTCGGGGGCTTTTAGAAACTGACTTGGGCATTGATCATATCATCAGAGACCTGCGTCGACTCAGCCTTGCTGCTGATGATATGAAACCAAGTTTCAATCTCAATAGGGGCCTTCCGGGCCTGTGAATTGACAAAATTGGCCTCACCCGACTTCAAGCGACCGACTTCATTGAGAAATACGTCGTCTGGATCTTCGGTGGCGCAGGCGCCTCGCTTCTGAAGCGCAAAGGGGCTGCACTGAACCTGCAGGAATAGGGATGTAACAAGGACCACGAGCTGGAAAAAGGAGTGACAGACCATGTTGCTGGTGTTGGAAGCTCCTGTGGTTTTGGCGTTACCCCGTCACACCTGTCGAATAGGACAAAGGGAAAAAAGGATCGAAAAGGATCAAATGACGAACGACAGCTCAGTGGGTTTCATGGCTTTTCAGTGAGTACCCTCAACCCCAAACACCACCAAACATGTCCTTGTTCCATGATCTTAAAGGAATGCTGCGTCATGCCGGAATGCATGTCCTAGGCAAGGGGGACTCTGGGCATGCGGAAGATCATAGTAGGAGAATTGACAGAGGGCAAGACGATTGGCATGCGCGAGATTCCGACCAAGTCATAAGAAGCGGGATGAAGTCACCCAAGCCGAGAAGAGAACAGAAAGAATGTTGTATTTGGAGTATCTGCAATCAAGTTAGATACATTTGGGGGGGGAAACACCTTGCTAACACCATATCCTCAAAGTTCCCTACTATTTACAGCGTTGACCCATTGAATAAGACACATTGCGAAGAAAACACAAGAATGAAGAGAAACAGAAAAACTCAATTCAAGGGCGATCATCTCGTCCCGTCGTAACAGCAGTACTGGGCTGATTTGAATCCCATGTAAGATAAGTATGATCACCAAGTTTCCTACATAATGTTAGTTTTCCTTTTTTCTTTGTAGTTTGAAACTGGGGATAAACATACCTCGGCCGCACCAGATGCGCAACAGTGAACAATGCTCCGAGAAGAACACAGATTCCACCAACTACTACGTAGGCAATCCCCATGAAAGGATTTTTGCCACCAAGGACTGTCCGAGTAGATATCAAAATCGACTTTGTTCCATCGTACTCGGTGACGGGAAATCCTGGCAGGGAATTAGCAAACTATGTAGTCAAAGATAATGGATCAAATGACATACTGTGGACAATGTCCAGAGAATAAGAGCCTTTCTCCATAGCATGAGTATCGTTTCGGCGAGAGAGCTTGCTGAACGAGGGCAATCCTGCAGTTCTCATCCATACCATGAAATCCTCATCTTCATGAAGATTTGGGATCTCTGTATAGGTACCGTTGTACTTGGCCCAGTTCTGCGGTGGTAAAACTTCCTCTGGTTTATACTTTGTCTGCTTAATGAGCTCCTTGTCACTAGCCCACGCGATCCCCTTCTTGGTCATGGGGTAGTAATGCTTGTTGCTATCGCTCCCCGACCCTGACAGAATCTGCGGTTGACCAATGGTATCATTGAACATCGAGTTGGCAATCAATCCACATGGGTAGTATGCTTTCTTTGCCTCCCCATCAGTCGCCAAAGGGTCGCAGGTGCCTCCCTTAAGTGTGTTGTAGGAGACAGCATCACCCTTTAACTGATTCAGGTCGAGCGATTGGACATATCGGCGATGGTTCTGATAGAAATTTGTAAGACGATAGTACATGAAGACAGGTGCCGGAAGGTCATTCGGGAGGGTGAAGTAGAGCGTGCAGACGGTGGCTCCGGAACTATCGTTGTGTCGTTGCCAGGTAGGCGGCGTTTCAAGCTCATTTTTGAATGTCGCCGAGTAAGTCGGGACATAATCCTGGCGTTCATATGGGGCCTTGATGTGACATTCGGAGTAATCGATGGAAATTTCTTGGACCTGAAATGCACACGCGTCGATACAGATGAGCGATCATTCCATCGGAGCCGGATTAAAAAGCAGAAGCGTACCAGAGAGCTCGCCCAAATGAGAACTCCACCGATGGGGGCAAATATAACGCCAACTATGAAGAAGAGAGGGAGGACGCTTTTAGGGGTCAAAATCGGTCTGAAAAGGTCAGCGTGGAGGTCCAGGGCTAGAATGGACACCTTTCAAACTTACTGCCAGGCTTTCAGGCGTTGCTGGCGAAATGCGGTATCTGGTACACGTCAATCATGGGAAGGGGGGTGATATATGAAGAAGACGTACTGGCTGGCCGACGAGACTTGGGCTTCTTGTCAGTCTCCTCCTCCCTTGCACGCTCCTGGTCCTCGATGGATTCAGTACGAGTCACCTCGGCCTGGGACATGGCTTCGAATTGCCAAGATAACAGGAGTTAAAATGTTCTTTAGGTCGAAGTGAATAAAGCGAAGAGTGATAAGACAAGGGAGACGTCAGAAAAAGGTGGCGCCGGGCGGCAGATGGCGTTGATTGCGCCCCACCGCTTTAGTTGACTTTTAATAGAACACGAACTTCGGCTCTTCGGAGTCACTATACACTGGTCTTTACGTTGTATAATGCATTTCATTTCAAATCAAATCAAGTTAAATCAAATCAAGTCAAGTCAAGTCGAGTCAATTCATGCAATAGATTAATGTCAGGAAAACCATATCCGGTCAGGGTATCAAGCCTTATCCTATGTGCTGCCATCTGAAAAGGGCCGGAGGGAAAATAGCAAAAAAAAGAGCAACCCAAGGAACGCATAGAAACAGTGACACCAATGGCTAACCAAGCCTACCATTCTAGACCAATGTGAAACTGTGAACAACGCCCAACGCCATAAATCGAAGACTGCAAAACGTATTGATAAAACCATGAATCAGGAATGTCTGAATGCAAAATAGCAAGGGGAATCTTGGAAATTGAAAGACGAAAGTCAAAAGGAAAAAGAATGTATCATAATGTGGTCGTGAGCAGAATAGCAACGGGAAACAACCGAGCGGATCGTGAGAACCATTCTGCACGTGTAATATTGCTGCCACTGGCATAGACCGTGGTTGAATTACAGACGCTGCGTGGTCAGCCTGGAGAATTGGACTGTTCGGCCCATGGAAGGAGAGAATCAACGTCATGAGTGTGAATTGCATGGCCCATGAAAATGCCGCCAGGCTTGTAAGATCAATTCAAATGTTCATGAAAGAATTCAGGCTTGAACCAGCCCACACGTTCGTAGGCAGTCCAAAGCTTGCTTGCTTTGTTGACATCGATCTTGCAAGCCTGCTGAGCATCTGTCTTGCGGAACTCTTTGCCAACACTGAGGGCTCGGAGCCGAGCATCAAAGATGCGGCGTTTGCTGCAGAGGTATGTGGCACAAGACAGTCTAAGGGTGGAAGCAAGGTTGAGCTCGGCGGGACTGAGAAGATGTCTGTCCGGGTCATTGCTCAGATCCAACATCTGCCCTTTCCAATCGGCTTTCAACGCTTTGGCATTGCTGCCTAGCGTCTCCAGCGGAGGTGAGAAGTCCGGGAGGGAATGGAAATCAGTGTCATCCCTGTTTGTACCCAGGGCACGTGGCTTGGAGACCGACATTGGGGGGGAGTCAAAAGTGTCGAGCACCTGTTGCTTGGGGGTAGATTTGGGGGTGCGCTTGACTCGGGTCCGCTGCACACGGGGCTGAGTTCCCAACTTCTTTGGGGCAGGAGCAATCTTCTTCAACTTGGGTTCGAAGTCTGGGCGGTAGCGGTTCATCATAACCAACTGACGCTCCAGTGTCTCTCGTTCCTCGCGGGCCCAGGCGGCCGGGTTGCGGTTATACTGGGTCGAGACAATAGGGACACAAGAGAGCGCCAGGAGATATTCACCCCGGGTGGGTTTATTCACTTTGTTTGCAAACCTCGCCATATGAGAGTTAATGTGTTGCTCCATGAGAGCCTCTGCGGATGGATTGACGGGACCGAAAAGCGGTTCATCGGTAGTAACATCAGTAATAGAGTCCTGGCGAGGAAAGAGAACGGGATCCCTAGATGATCCGTCTCTTTCGACATGGTCGGATGCCTGTGACTTGGATTTCTTGTTCCCTGTGTACGGGGTCACGGGTGGCGATGGAAGATCCATCTCTGACTGCGTCCGCTTTCGATCAGCTGAGATGGGTGGAAGCTTTATGTCACCAATGGAGGAATCTCGAGGCTTTGCAAACGGAGAATGCGAGACCGAAAAAGTCTCGAGTGGTTTAGTCTCGGGGGGTGACATAAGGCTAGAAACAGAGGGGAGACGATTCATGTTTGGATGTTTGCCCGAAGGCCAAGCACCCGCAGATGAGGTCATTTCCAAAGAGATATCAAGTGGTAAGTCGGTAAGTCGGGTAAGTTGGATTTAATTCCGTAAGTTGAGGTAAGTCGGTCAGGAGAGATTCAAGCAGTCAATGGGGAGAGGGAGCTCAGAGAGATAGAACAGAAAAAAGATGATGAAGAGAGCTGGCGAGTGTGGAAGTCAATGGAAATGAATTAGGCAAAGGCAGATGATTTGTCAGGTCCTCTCTTTGTCTTGGGTGGCGATAAGCCCAAGTCTCGGCGTTAAGGCTACAATTGCCGGGAATGAGTCAAAATGGTGGGGGAGTCAGAACCATTGAAAAGGCAGAAAGATAAAAAGGGGGGATAAGAAGGGTTTAGGGGGGAAGAGGGGAGTTAAAAGAAAACAAAGTGAGTCAGGGTATTGCGGGGAGGGGAAGTCCGAGTTTTGAAGATGATCAGGCTCATGGGACCAAAGAGGGAGAGAGACAGAGAGAGAGTCAGAGCGTATAAGCGCAGAAGGGGCGCAGTCCAGTCACCAGAGCGATGACGTCCGTTCAGGTGCCCAATCCACATGACATGCGGGCAGTCACCTGATAGGTAGATCTTATCTTTCTCTCTTTGATTTGAATTGATTTGTATGTTGAACTGTGTTCTCTTACTTGCACTCTTCAATTTGCATTCTCTTTTATTCTCTTCTCATCTTGTTTGGTGTGATGTTGGTTATGACTCATGCCCAGTGGTTGCCTAGAGTTGCGTCAATTGCAGCCCTCGAGTTCACTTCTCATCCTTATTCGTCAATTGCCTGGATCTGGAATTCCAATCAGGTTCTGCTCTGGAATTTCTCCGGCTTTTCTCTTTGACATTGTTCGATATCAATTCTTGTTCCCGATGATCGCGTGACCAAATCTGTCTAGTGTGATACTCTTTGACCTCGAATCTTACCATCGCGCACTGGAGCAAGGTACGATTAACATTAAATTCTAGATAACATGATTTCAAATATCAGTTACTTTTTGACGTGGTTGGTTGCAGCCATATGTCTGTTGTCATTTATGATTTCCTGGTTTTCATCTACGGTCCCCTAGCCGAGGCAGAGCGTCTATAATTAAATGCTAGTATTGTGGATTATGGCTTTGAAAAGAACAATGCAGAACATGTAATCTTCACGCTTGTTGATATGCTCCTAAATGCGAAGACTGATTATAGACATACTCAGACTTGGAAGCGACTCCTTCTGGCCAGAAGCCGGAACTTCCCGATAGCCATCATATGCAGTGTGTATCTAAGAATGGGAATCAGCAGCTGAACTCAACAATCCACTGCGCATGCGTACAATTAATGCGATCGCTGGCATGATGCGCGTCAAAACGCCTTGCCGAGAAAGCCTAATACCCTATGCTAGCCTTCAGATTTGAAGTGTTGTGTCTAGCTTTCCGATGGTATACGATAAAGAGATAAACCCCGAGGCGAAGCGTATGAATCAACGCAATGATGTAGTGCCACTGGTAAAGTGATTGGATATTCCTAGAAACGATCCCTTCACGACAAATGTACCATCTGAGTTGCCTTGCTTTAGCCTCTGCCTTTTTTCACCCCTTTTTCGCTCATTCTCAGGTGTCTCGGGTTGTGGTCGCTTGGTAATAACGGGTATAGGGCAGTAGGCAGTATTTATGTCTCCTGTTGTATGCCGGGTCTTGTGAATACTGAAGGCTGGCTTAAAATGTGTTTGGGACCCCTGGGGATACTCGTGAACAGCTTGTGCGTAGTTGTACTGGGCTTGATGCTAGAGAATAACTAACAGTAGGCAGTCTATAATTTTGAATGAAGGTGTGAGCTTGTCCGATATCAGTTAGAGGTCTTACTTGAGTGTTAAGCCGCTAGCCAAAAAGGACACCATGGCTGACCTAACCACGGTATGAACCACCCCCCTCCCCGTATAAGGGAATTAGATGTTGGGTGACATGCTCGTTGTGTGGGTTATTTGCTTGGAGAGTGGCCATGGTCAGCGTTGTCTGTTGACACCCCGCTATTTATATAATTGCAGTATCAACCCGCAATGTTGAAACTGGCACAACTTGGCCAATTGCAACTAAATATAATATAACGCAATTCATTAGTGAGCTGGCCACCCCACTTAACCAATCAATTTAAAATAGAATTTTCTCAGCCAAAACGCCATTGAATTCAAAAGGTAAACACAAGTTCTATTGGGACATAGAGTCAATTTATAAGCCTTAATTCCACATATGCTACACGGGGTGGGGCTCTCATACGTGACTTAGAAGGTGTCGGAGCTAGCCCTACCTTGCGATATTATTAGTGTTAGAATTACCTACTCTAGCTACGGTATTATGGTAGAGCCTCTGCCCCTAAAACCAAGAGGCCTTCCTCAGAAGGTATTTGCCTGAACAAGCGAGTCCTTTTTTGCTGCTTCTTCTCGTTTTTAGCGCCTAGTTCGCTTACTTCTTTCTCGAGTAAAATAGCCGATTGTATTATCATCTAGTAGGCTTTTAAAACTTGATTTATCGCGTAATTAAGTAGACTCGGACGGATTATTAAGCAAAATTTTAGCAAACCTCTGATTAAGGACGCTTATCCTGTAGTTTGACGTAATTTGACCGGCGTTTTTGGCCCCTACTCACTTGTCAGGACAACATCCTGACATGCATTGAGAGCCATCGCCTCAACACTGCGCCAAAACCCGCACCCGAACCCATGTTTGCAAAAAGTTTAGGTCTTGGCATATATAATTTAGCCGATTCATCAAAATAAATTATTGTAATTTAGCTGTGTTCTGATTCTGATTTTTCTTGAATCTTTATCTCTCACTTTAATCACTTGAAATATTAAAAAACTCTTTTCAATACTTATTTATCAATATTAGTTATTAGTTACTTATATATTTTTGTAGTAATATAGCTATGGTGTTATAGGACAAAACTTAAGTAGCTTAGGAATAGGGTATTACTATACAAAAATAGACATTTGATACTACTTAAAGGTGGGACACCTTTATTAAGGAAATATCAATTTTCTAAAAAATCATTTTCTACATACTATTCATTATACTAAGTTTACATAGATTAAATAATTCCTAATATAGTATATATTTTGCACTTGTCTTACAAGATAATATCTTAGAGTTAATATTGTAATCTGTCTCTCTTATTAGTCTATAATAATATAGATAGTACATTATACCTCGTATTAGATCCGCCGTAAGTAATTACTCCTAAACCTTCTAGTATTTATCGAATATTCGATCCCTTTCAATTAAGACTTTATGCTACTATAGCCTTGCTTATCAGTTCTATGCTCTTTTACGTGTATTACCCTAGGTCGAAGGAAGAGCTATCTATTTTTTAATCGTATAATATATACTAAATAGGTAGACTAGTGGATTAAAACTAACTATGGAAAGACTAGCAAAATTCAGCTATTTAGTAGAGTTATAAAGTGGCAGAGGGTTCTGATAGCTAGCCAAAGGTTATAACGTAACCGGTAAGCGAGTGATTAACCCAACCATTGTTTTTAGGCATTTTTTTCAACCATAACGCGAATTCAATAGAGCCGAAGCTATTCAGATCCCTCTGGGCCACCTATTTCTCTTATTTCTAGGCGTTTTACAAAGACTGTATTGCTGTGCGCGCCTCTTATTGGTCTGGATAGGCGTCGGCTATATCCGGTCGGCGTGATTAGATCTCGCTTCTTCGACCTCTCTCTCTCCGCTAAAACGCGTTATAGCTTCTTTAACTAGTAGACCTCCTTTATATACTATTCGAGCTTTCGTACGCTACCTTTTACGCAAAACCTTTGTATTAGCGGCCCGTAAATCGCTGATTTGCTACCGCGCAATGGTAGACTAATATATAGTAAGCTAACACCCTTTCTCTATTCCATCTATAGCTTAATTTAGTCGCTACAGGTTATCCCTAGTACGCTTCTGAATAGATAATACCTATCTCTATATAGGAACTTATTCTTATCGATAGTTATAGAACTAAAGCTTATTCTAAATCTCGATAGCCTTATTGTATATTCATCGAGGATACTATTGTTTGCGACCGTAGATCTTTTAGAATTAAACCACGTAGAGATCACTTTTACAACCTTATATTCAAGCTCGCCGGTAATCGTAGGACCTCGAGAATCGAGTTAGAACGGTTAGATACTATTTCACGAATTATAGACCTATTTTTCACTAACGGACTTGGTCTATATAGTCCCGCGAACCTCGAGCAATAAATTAGCTATTTCTCGTATAATATTCGGCTAGGGGGCTATTTATTCCACGCTTACCTAGTGAGAGAATGTATTTCTTAATGGTTTCCTATTCTAGAATCGTTAATTTATAGCTATTAGTGCTAGTTTGTTTCGCGATCTTTGACGACGGAAATATGTCGTCTAAGTGTGGTAGCTAACACTTCGAGATCGCGTGCTAGTGAAGAAATGGAGTAGTTTCTTTTTTAAAAAAAAAAAAAACTTAAATAGCTAATAAAATCCTACTATCTCGCATTATACGTTTTCGAGAGTTTTAAGAGCGAATTAGAGGCATAGTAGGTGGTTAAATAAAAGAGCGATTAATATTGACGCGAGACTAACGCGGGGTGAATCACTCGCTTACTAGTTACGTTATATACCGATTACTTCTTCGTTAAAACGTATTAGCCAAAATAGAGGAAAGAACTACGTTCTCTATAACTGCTTAATTAGGAAGGTAGTATAAGCATTATCTTTGTTAAGAAGACATATATCTATTTTAGATGGAGGGTACACACACCACTTTTTTCATTATACTACGTATTTTATTTAAATTTTAAAACATAGCTTACATAGATATATTAGGTTATAGGCTATAAGGGTATAATATATCTATAATATAATTCAAATTAGATACTAAGATTCCCTCCTATAAAAGGATGAAAACGGCCTTTAAACACGTGTATTTCTGCATAATTCATGTTCGCACTGTTTGTAACCCAAGTTAGG